CCGGGTACTCCGGTTTCCCCCCACAGTCCAAAAACATGCAGTCAGGCTGATTGGACATGCTAAATTGCATGTGTGTGTGAATGTGTATGTCTGTCTGTCTGCCCTGCGATGGACTGGCGACCTGTCCAGGGTGTATCCTGCCTTCCGCCCAATGACAGCTGGGATAGGCTCCAGCACCCCACCGTGACCCAGAAGGATAAGCGGTTTAGCTGATGTATGTATTCAGTCTTTAGATTTGTTTATTTTCAAATTGTAGCTACCCAACTAGCATGTTAGCTTGCTAGCAGCTCAGCTAACCGTTAACTTGTTAGCTAGCTAGTTAGCAAGCGAGCTAACTAACCAGAACACTTGATGAGAACCTGATAACGTATTTCCTCTAATTTTTCATTTCTTTAATGTTGAAAAACTATACATAAAGCTTGTTTGGGTGTATAACCTACCGTCGGTGGTGGTCTGGACTTCCGCGGCCATGGTGGTCTTATGCTGTCGATCTCTACACCTGCTAAAGAAATAAAAGGTTCCCACGGTGGCGGCCGCAGCTCCAGGTGCATACAGCAGGGGGCGCCAGCCAAGCCGAGACGGGGCAGCACACATCCAAATGGTCATCGAGACTGGATAAAGAATCGCTGTGAGAGCTCAGGTTTGTTGCAGCTTCACGCTCGAGGTGTCGGTAAACGACTGAAGCTCCGTGTTCGATTGGACCTGTTTAGAACGCCGACTGAACCCGCAGACTGTTTGGTCTCCAAGGTAACAGGAGCAAAGCGCGACATAGCAATTTTTTTTAGTAAAATATCAAAAATAACTCGTGCAAATTGAGAAATATAAATGCCCCACCCCCATGTATAACCTCTTAAATAAAAAGGCTGTATAAAAATACAATTCATCTGCTAAAATGCTCTTTTTCTTGGCATCTTATGATTAATCTTTCCCCATTTCTCCCTCATCTCTATTGTATGTAATCCCCCAACATTACTCTAATATTGTTATCTGTGTCCTTTATAAACCTCGATCTCTATGACTGAAAAAAATAAAACAAGACAATGTAACTTACATTGTTAATGTCCACTATGTTGGGGTCTGTAAGGGTAAGTTTGGACAGATGATTATTTTAGCATTAACTACAGGCCACACTGATGGACTCAGGTGGGACCGATACTGATCCTGTGTGAATGTGTTTGCTGTGATTTTGGATTTTGGAGTCCAAACATCACAAATATATCACTGAAGGACCAAAGCAAAGAGGCTAAGAAAATAAGTTCTTGAATACTAATTCACCATCCACTTTATTACAAACACATACAATGACTTCCAAATTATTAAAACCATTGATTAATTGATCACAGACTTTTTAGCTCTCTATAATTTTACTGAAAATATTGATAGCTATTAATTTTTACTATTTACTATTATTACTATTATTAAATTACTATTAATTCTAACTATTAATAGTAATTTAATAGTAGTAATATTAAATTAAAATTAGTATACTAATTACAAAATGTTACTACTTTTACTATTGTTACTATTACTATTACTATTAATCTCAAGCTGTAATTTGTATTTACTACATTCTGGAAAGTCTCGCTTTATTATTTCTATGTTACTCTCTAAAAACCATGCAAATGCAAAATTATTGCGAGGGTATGCAATGGCTTTTTTTTTTTTTAAAAAAGTGTGGCCTCTTAGGGGCTCGGTATGAACCAGCTAACAGGCTTTTGTGAAATAAAAATCTAAAACAAAAACTGTTCTATCTTGTTTTATCCTATCATGAGATTTTATGCTATCATATTGCACTGTACTGTGATCCAGGAGAATAAGCGGCTTAGATGATGATATGATGATGCACTTTATTATATATATATATTTTTTTTTACATTTCTGTTTTGATTGATTTTGATGCTTTCCCCCTAATTAACTGTCTTACAATTTTAATTTCATTTATTTGTAGAGCACCTTGACCATTAATCATTGCTGTAATTAGTAATTTAGTTCATTCTTTGTTTTAGATTAGCCAAAAGAGGGTGGAGATTAACTGAAGCCCTTCTCTTTAAAAAATTTCCTACGAAGGAAAAATCAACAGCACAGCACCACTGATGGCCTTGAGATGAACTACAATATGAATTGCTCAGGCTAGTTCCAGGCTTTGTTGAGACAGCTGGTATCTTTAGAGTCTGTGCTGCCTCTGTTTATTTTATAACAACAAATAATGTCAATGGTTGAACTGTAAAATATTTTAAAGGGGCAAGGTTGATTCAGATAATTGGGGAGTGGACTGAGGACTGGTGGTTCAGGAATTATATGTATGAAATTTATATACATATGTACATATATATACAAGGCAGCTTGTGTGCAAATATCATATATGGATGAAATTAAAATATCCTTAATAGACTTCTTTTTTAATTTTAAACTTAAAAACTGTTTTTCCCAGAGCCAGCTAAAGGGTTACAAATGTGAAAATGAGCAGCTTCAAGCAGGAGAAACTGCTGCCTTAACCACAATGAGGTACAATGCACAAATGGCATCAGAATACCTGAACAAAGCAGCCAAAGATGCAGAGACTTACATTAAATATGTTGAAAATACTTTACTTCTTTATTTCATATCAGACCAGATCTATTACATTTGTACTAACACACTGTAAAAGTGTGCAAATGCATGAATTATGTTACATACACCAGAGTGATTAGGTGCACAGCATGCATTTAACTACATTGTGTTTATCTGTTCACAGGCAGTTGCTGACAGGAAGAGAGACTATGTCTGAAACAGAAATCAATGACATGCAAATCATTTAAACCCTATATTTAATTGAAAATAGTACAAATACAGCATATCAAATGCTGAAATTGAGAAATTTCATTGTTTCTTGAAAAATATATGTCCATTTCGAATTTGATGCCAGCAACATGTCATTGGTGCCTTCACAGACGTGCACTAATGCACCCCCGTACCATCACAGATGCTGGCTTTCGAACTGTACACTCATAACAAGCCAGATGGTCCCTATCCTCCTTAGCCCAGAGGATGCGGCATCCATGATTTCCAAAAAGAATTTAAAATTTTGATTCTTTGGACCACAGGACACTTTTCCACTTCACCTCAGTCCATCTTAAATGAGTTCAGGCCCAGACAAGCCAGTGGTTTTTCTGGATCCTGTTTATATATGGCTTCTACTTTGCATGATAGAGTTTTAACTTGCATTTGCGGATGCAGCGACGAACTGTGTTCACAGACAGTGGGTTTTGGAGATGTTCCTGAGCCCATGCAGTGATTTCCACTACAAAATTGTGTCTGTTTTTAATGCAGTGCTGCCTGAGGGCCCTAAGATCACCGCCAGCCAATATTGGTTTTCAGCCTTGTGCCTTACATACAGAGATTTCTCCAGGTTCTCTGAAATTTTTAATGATGTTATGTACCATAATTGATGAGTTCTTTGCTATTTTACTTTGAGAAACCTTATTTGTAAATTGTTGTACTATTTTCACGTGCAGTTTTTCATAGAGTGGTGAACCCTTCCCCATCTTTACTTCTGAAAGACTCTCTCGGATGCTCTCTTTATTTACATTCATGTTACCAACCTGTTGCCAAGTAGTCTATTTAGTTGTGAGATGTTCTGCCAGGTATTTTTTAAGCCTTACACAACTTTACCAGTCTTTTATTGCCTCTGTTCCAACTTTTTTGAAACTTGTTGCTTGTGTCAAATTCAAAATGGGCATGTATTAAAAAACAAACAAATAAATAAATAAAAGTAAGTAAATAAGTAAGTAAATTAATACAATTTCTCCTTTTCCACATTTGTTATTGTGTCTTTGTACTATTTTCAAGTAAATATAAGACTTAAATGATTTGCACATCATTGCATCCGTCATTGCATATTTTTATCAAATTATTTCTTCTGCCAGCCCATTTAAAGTCAGATCTAGAGGTTGTTGTAGGTCTCCAATGCATCACTCCAGAACACCACGAGTCTGTTGAGGTAAAATCTCACACATGCTTTCCTCTAACATGGATACAGAATCTTTTCAGACTTTGATGCAGCATTGTTAAACAGTTAAGCTCCCTGGGAAAAGAACACTAACTGCTTATACGAACGCAGGAAAGTTGAACCCTGTTATTTTTTCCAGCTAGGTCTGCCCAAGGCACTGTGGGAAATCACCAAGATCAAGATATTGGGAGCATATGTGACAACTGGGATTGTAGCCCCAGTCCAGATGCACTTCTTCACTACAGAACTGGTAGTGAAGGGCCTTCAATTTTTCTCTGTACCAATATTTTATGGTTCGTTTTTAATTATATTTTCAAAATGTGTAAGCATTTGAGCATGTACATAATGCAACAGTTTAATTTATCATACTAGTGTAATACACATTGAATAGTTTAAAAATGGTAAAACACTATTAATAAACTTGCTCTGCCAAGTTCATAGCATATATATTAATCTTAACAGGTCGTTTGATTTTCCCTGGCTGCTTTAACTTTAATAAATAGATAACGTTTATTAACAAAAGTATACATACTGCTGTCGACCAAAAACGTATACGTATTGCACTTCTAATTGATCAACAAGTCACAGAAACTGTTGTATCCAGTTATTTAGTATTTTATATTTAGTGCTTACTGGTCTCACTGTTTGAGACGCACAGCCCTAAAGTACAAAAAGACTTTTATTTTGAAATACTTTCACAAATACGCGTACTGCTCACATTATTTCCCACTACACGAGCGCTCCGTCGACGTTTCATGAACGTTATGCTAGAATTTCTTTATTAAGGTCAGTATTTTGAATTTGACTTCATAAAAATGTCTCAACAAACCTGAAGAAGTTTATGTCGTCTGAGATAGGAAAGACTAACGCTTGGCTTATATTTACATCGCTCATATCTGAGTTTCGAAGCTCCGGAGTTGCATGCTGGGTAATATGCTAACTAGCTGTTCCCTGCAGGCAGAGAAGTGTGAGTTTGAGATGCTTTACGTCAAATATGTGTATATATATGTGAAACTGGATTAAAAAAAAATTGTCTGGAATTTAGATACTTTGAAATTGAGGACGACATATTGTACGCAAAACTGTGGGCACGACTAATTGCACTGAATTGCATGCTATAAAAATGTGTAAAGAGATTAAGGACTTGGTACTCATCTTTGCTAATTTGCTAATCAAGAGTTTTAAACTGAATATCGCTATGCGAACAATTGATGTCCTTAACTCTTACCTAACACCCTATTCGAGACATAATGTTCCGTTTGCTTTCGTCTGTGATAACTAAGCTAGCCGGTCGGTTTAATACGTTGATGTAAGTTTGTTGGTTAAATTGTCAGACTCTTTTTAGCTGTGTTTCTAACGTGTCATACCTGTTGTATTAGCTCTCTTGCAGGAGCTGCTGTAATTTACCTGGGGAGGGTTTATTTGGATAAAAATGGCATCACCAGACGACCTGCTGTCCCAGAGAAATAAAATCCAGCGCCAGATTTTGGAGCTGGAGAACGCTCTAGGCGCGGACAGTAGTGTTATAGATTTGCTATCATCATCCAGCGACAGTGGTGAGTCAATTAAGCTGCTACGATCTCTTTATTAGGCTTAGTCTGTCCTTTGTTAGTATGTTAGTATGTTAGTATGTTCTTTGTTTTTTTCAAATTGAGTCCTATTGCATACTGATACACTTCTTCCTGCTGACAGATGAAGAGTCAGATGACAGTGGACATGCAGGGGAGGAAGCGGTATGATCATCTTTCAGCTCATATTCTACTATTTTCTTGTATTATGTCCCCGAGGTGTATTTGGTATTTGTGTATTTTTATGTACATAAAATGAGTCAAATTTTTTTTGTTTTTACATGATCATTTCAACCTTTCTCTGTCCCTCAGAATTAAGAATGCTGTTTTGTTACTGTGTCTTTAAGTCAGATATATGTAAATTACCTGTGTTCTTATTGGCTACCCTGTACTGTGCCTCAGAAAGCAGCCTAGGCTGACACACTCCTTATAACTTCACAGTAATTAGGTGGGCTAACCTGTTGTAGGTTATATGTAAATATGTTCATTTTCAAGACATCACAGACAGCAAATTCAAAGTGGGCAAGTTTTGCAACTTAGTTTTCATATATGAACTGTATGGACTTGTGTTTACATTCTACATCAAACGCTTATCTCAAAAAGTAAGGGGATATTTGGTCCTCCATGATGTGAGCCCATTAACCGCAATGTCTTCTGCAGGTACCAGAAGATCTTGAGGCAAAGCGACAGCAAATACAGAAGGAGATTGAAGCGTTAGAGCAAACACTTGGAGTAGATGCAGCACTGGTGGCTGGCTTGACAGGTAAGATCATATCAGTAAGAGAAACCGTCACTCATGATTTACTCTTATGTGAGTGAAAATAGAGAATATGGCAAATATTTTATGTTTAGATGGTTAAATGTATTTACTTGCACACTTTATTCCCAAATAGACAGTGAACATGGTACTGGCAGTCACATGGATTCTGTAAGTTTCTGTTCATCATTTTCACTGTATAGACTCATTGTGTGTAGGCCATGTTGCTGTTTAATAACCCTGTGAAAAGTTCTGATGAGGTTATTTTCTACCCAATTAGAGTGACGAGGATAGTGATGAGGAGTTGGATCTTCCTCAAGATGTGGAGACTTGTCTGCAGATGAATCTGGTCTATCAGGAGGTGCTGAAAGAAAAGCTAGCTGATTTGGAGCGCCTTCTCAGTGAAAACCGCCAGCAGCAGGTTAGTCAGATACATGTACAAAAGTGGATTTTGCTTTTAAATAACAATGAGGTTTATAATGCTGAATGATTATAACTAGATCATGTGGGAATTCTCTGTTTTTTACAGAAAGAGATTGAAGCCCAGCTTTCTGGCCCTGTATCCGCTTTTCCAGGGCTGCCTCACATGAAACTTTTCCTTGGCACCTTTATGAAACCATATTTCAAAGACAAGCTCACTGGTTTGGTAGGGTCACTTGCAAGTTACTTACAGTATTCTTGTGAAGTGCCCGTAGTGTAGCTAGTCATTTTAATAAAGCTAAAAGACTTATGATATATGCACTTATTTTATGTCCAGCCTAAGTTGGTTTATCTCTTTCCTTTAGGGCCCTCCAGCAAATGAAGAAACTAAAGAAAGGTTGAGTTATGGGACCAGGCCCTGTGATGAGATGAAGATTAGAAGATGTATGTTGCAGGGTTTGTTGAGCAATCTTTTTGTGTGCTAAATGCATTTAATGATGAAATATAATTTTGGTTGCATCTTTTAGGGGAGGGATGGCAGAAGACTTTGCTGATCAACTCAGTAGTTTCAGACACTATGAAACGCATGCTACAGCCTAAAATGTCCAAGTAAGTTGTAAATAAAGAAAAAGCTAAAATGTCTGATAAAGTCTTCCCATACATTGTTCCTGTCCTTTACACTCGCACTATAGAATAATTTACACTGGGCATGTTTTTGTTGTTTTATAGGCTGGATTACCTGACTGCAAAGATGTCCAAAGCAAAAGATGTGGAAAAAGAAACACTGAAAAAACAAATAGTTCTTTTGGAGAAGGAAATTGAAGAAATTAGGTTACTATCAGTTACTAGCTATCAGTTTTATTGTTTTGTACACCTGTAGGCCTGTAGGGGGCACCTCTGTAATGGGTGAAAGTGATTTGAATAGTTTGACTGAAAATTTCAATTATAATCTACTTTAAGAGTTACTTACTAAATTGTATTTTTTTCACCACCTTAAATGTGTACCCAGCTCAATGAGTGAAGACCAGCTGTATGGGAATCGCCATGATGATCACGATTGGGACAAAATAGCAAATACTGATGTAGGTCTTGCTAACTATCTGTAATACAACTCCATGCTAATATCTATTAACCATGCATACTTAAAATGTGCACCACTCATACCATTGTCAAAATATTGAATGTTATAGTTTGAGGGCCTACGACAACCTGAGGATTTGGAGAGATTCTGGCAAAATTACCTGCATCCCTCCATTAACAAATCAACATGGAAACAGGATGAGATTGAAAAGCTTTCTGCTGTTGCAGAACAGTTCAAATTCTGCTACTGGGACCAAATAGCAGAGGCACTTGGGGTAAGCACAGCACTCAGAAAAGACATCTTTATGTGTATCCCATGAATGGCTGTTCTGGCACAACATGATTTTTAAAGAAGAAGCATTACTGATTGTAATATATTCCTAAGATATGTATTCAATTTAAAAACACTAACATTCTTCCTGTTGATTTTTTTTTTATTTTCCTTTTTTCAGACCAACAGGACAGCTTTCATGTGCTTCCAGACGTACCAGCGCTACATTGCTAAAAGTTTCAGAAAGAGAGAGTGGACTAAAGAAGAGGACCAGGTCCTCCGTGACCTCGTAGAGAAGATGAGAATCGGCAACTTCATACCATACACTCAAAGTAATTTATTTAAAAGCAGAAACTGGTACTCGTAGAGAAACCTGTTGGTTAAAATAACATTTAAATGTTTTATATCTTTTTACACCTCCACAGTTTCGTACTTTATGGAAGGTCGTGATCATGCCCAGCTCATGTATCGTTGGACATGTGTTCTTGATCCCTCGATAAAGAAGGGCCCTTGGTCAAAAGAAGAGGACCAGGTATGGAGGGCAGTTTAGGTTTGAATGTTTGTGGTCTCAAAAGCCTTCCACATCAATAGTACAGCATGCTGCCTTGTGTACTGCATTGTTTGCTAAATGACAATGCAGTGATTTCTGAGCAATATGTAGTCTTAACAGCGTCCTGTTAACACTTCAGAAATCGCTTACTGTAGCGACGGAATGTACCTTTACAGTGATGAATGTAGATCTATTTTGTAACACCAAAATTATCCTTAAACTTTGAACTAATCCTGGGACATAGTATTAATTGTTCTGTGATTAGAGACTTAAGTATGTATTCTCAAGAAGTGAAATATAACTATTCATTATTCAAAGTCATATATTGATGGATGATTAGTTGATTAGTTTCTGTATCTTATTCAGAATGCTGCGTTTAAATGTAGTAAATTCCAGCTAATCTTATTGCAGTTATTGCTGAAAGCTGTGGAAAAGTATGGGCCCAAGGACTGGTGGAAAATCAGACTGGAGGTACCTGGCAGGACAGACAATGCGTGCCGAGACAGGTGTGCCAAAACCCGTCCTTACACTGGGACAAATATGAATATGGTGAATGAAGTAAAATGTATGAAAACATGCATGATTCTTTGCTGAGCATTCTTCAGCCTTAATTTATTTTAAAATGTTGCAGATATTTAGATTGCCTCCGAGATGACGTGAAAAGAGGTGCATGGAGTGATGACGAGGTGGAACTGCTGAAAAAACTTGTTGAGAAATATGGTGTTGGTGAGTGATAACCTAAAAAAAAGTCCTCTTGAAGCCTGCCCATCAGAAAACAGATGCAAAATTATGTCTGTAGACTGTAAAGGATACAGCTGTCTGAACCTTTGGAAACTGTTTGCTGACTTGTCATAACTGTGCAATATCATCAGGTAAATGGGCTAAGATTGCCTCGGAAATTCCAAACCGGATTGACAGTCAGTGTTTGAACAAGTGGAAATGGATGATGCGGACCACTGCTGTAAGTTTGTCATGTCTGTTATTAGTACTACTGTGTGTTTATTATGCTTAGAAAGAAACTGCATATAGTAATTACAAGATATTCTAAAATATTATGTTATATTCTCCAGAAACATGGTATAAAAAGAGAAAAAAATGGATCAATGAAACCAAAGTCAAAAAAGAGAAAAGTGACCAGGAAAATGATCAAAGAGGAAAGTGAAACGGACTCTAATTCTGAAGATGAGAAAATAAAAGTGGAGTACATAGATAGTGATGGAGAAGAGAGAGGAGGTAACATCCCCTCAGAAGATGACACAGACCCTAGAGAAGAGTACATCCAGCCTGATATGAAGGAATGGATCCCAGTAGATGGCAGGGCAAAGATGCATCCTGAAGTGACTGTGAGGACCATGCTGGTCAGGTTGCCTACCAGGGAGGAAAGGCAACCTTCTGGAATGAACAGTACAGATGACAGAGATACTTCAGGTGACTACACTCAGAGCCACAGGCCAGTACGGAGTACCATGCTGGACCCTCTGGGATACCCTGTTAAGACGTACATGGGTATAGAACCACAGCCTTTAGACAAGTGGGTACGTTAACTCTGGAATTGCATGTGCACTTTCAACCTCAATTTCAAATCCTTTTCACTGATGTCTTTTCCATGAATCTAAATACAGTCACTTCAAGTCACTGTTACTATTGAAACACTAGACAGTTGGTTAATCTTTGTGACTGAAGCTCCTGCTATTCATGCCCTATTAATGAATTCTCTTTCAAGGTCACATAGATCTTCTACTCTTTATCCAAAGTTGAGATCAGTTAAACTTGCTCAGCATTTTTATACATGTCACAGAGCACGGTAGGATGTTAAATGCTTTATTGTTTGGAAGCCTCTTCACTTGTTATGCTTCTCCTTTCCTTCATTCAGGTTTGTCCTATAATTTGTCTGTATATTGAATTCATCTCTCTTTTTCCTTTTATTGTGTATTTTTTTATTTGTAGGATCTCTGCAATGAAAGGGCCATGATCCAAGTGCCTATAAACGATGTGAAAAACCTGCTGATTTGGAAGAAAGCATCTGCAGTGAAAGGGGTAAGTTCCATCATAAGAATTTTACTGTCATACAAAAACTGAAAAGTGGAGATATCACACAGTTTAACACAAGGTTGTCAGTTTCTCTTAGCCCAGGTCCTGTTCCTAAAACGACTGCTGCGCAACAAATTATGATTAGATGTTAGAAAGGTCGTTGTTCATGTCGTGAACTGGTTAAAACATGTTACCTTTTTTCTTTTTTCAGAGAACCAAGACCAAACCATGCATATCTTCAGCTAAAAGACAGATGAATGCACAAAGTGATGGACAAGAGACAAGCAGACTTAAGAGTGGTCAGGCAGTCAAACGCAAACAAACCACTCGTATCTCTAAGGCAGTAATCAACGCTAACCTCGACTATGCTCTCCTGATGGCTGTTATTCCAGTGGGTTGGCAATGTGTTACTGCCCCTTCCTTTCAGCGAAAAGAAAGTCTGTGAAGGTACTAAGATGCCATAAAATAATGACTTGAAATGATATTGACACTGATTTCTTTCTTTAGATTTAAAGCTGCATTTGTCTTTTTTTCAGCTGACGTTGCTCGAACAAGAGCAGCAGATATTCCTCTCACAAGAACGGCAGTGTTTTTGCTTTTTCTGAAGGTCAATTATAAGTTCATTCTTTCAGCCTTTCTGTTTCTATATAAAGACGGCTAATGGTTGAAGTGCATTAAAACTCTTGTTGTCTTCAAATAGGTTATTCAAATAGATGCTGAAGGCTGCAAGAAAGTCATTGAGGCTCAAAAAAACAAGCCAAGACCCCAAACAGGTATTTGAGCAAGATGAGTAATAAAAAATTGTTAAAATGAAATATTTACCTGTATTTAGTAGTAATTTTTACATCGTCTTTCAGCCAAGCGGTATCCATCTGTTAGGACAAAGACGGTGGCAATGCTGCTTGCTGAGAAGGAGCAGAGGGAGAAGAACTGCAAGGCCACACAACTCCCAGATCCCAAGCAACCTCCACCAACCCCACAGGCTAGCAAATTACCAATTCATACAAGTCCTCAACAGAACAAGAAACCACAAACAAGAAAAAAGAAAGCAATGACAGAGCCTACTTCGATGGCTTACACAAATATACATCAGGGAGTACTCCCCCCACAGCCTGTTGGACCAGGAATTTTACCTTTTCTGCAATCAGGTACACAGGGTACAACACAAACTCTTCAGCCATTATTGCAGCTGGTAGTACCAGTAGAACCTGGTAAATCAGCACAGCTGGCAGCCCCTCCCACAACCTCAATATCTAGCCCATCCTCTGTTGTACCCCCTACAGAGAACGCAGAGAAAACAAGGACTTCAAAACGCAAATGCAAGCCCACAATGAAAGCCCAGGCCTTGAAGGAAAATGTTAAATCCAAGGCTTGCAAGAAACGGTCTGCTAAAAATAACCAAAGTGGTGGTGATGCCCCTACAGTTGCTGTATTACCACAAACTACAGCTTGGATTCTCACGTCTGCTGGCTTGATGCCTCTTCAGCTATCTTCTCCTGGTATCATTGGTAATCAGAACCAAGTAATGCCCAACAGTGTTCCTCAGTTGTTACTTCAGCCACCTGTCGTAGTTAACGAGAATCGGCTTGTCCGTGCTGTGGGGCCAAGCAATACAACAACTGTCACCCCTGCTGATGTGGCATCTCCAACAGCAGGAACAAATCTTAATCAGAGCCTTCCACCTTCCATAGTCTCAAACAGCCCCAGTGTTTCCTCTCTTCCCACAGTTAATAATGTCCCCAACGTCTCCTCAGCTGTCACAAGTACAAGTGTTCCTTTAGTCCCACCTAACACTACAAATGTGCCCACCTCTGTTACCGCATCTGCTGTTCAGGTGCCACTTCCTGAAATCCAACGTAATCAAAAACAAAACATCTTGAATGTTGTCCCTCAGGTGCCATTTCAGTCACCTGTAATTTTGAGCCTGAGTGCTTCCCATGCAGGTCCTTCCAATGCTGTGAGACCTATGAGTCCTTTCAATTCCTCTCTATCTCCAGTTGCAAATGGAGCTTGTCTTACATCTTATCCTGTGGGAACAAGTCAGAATTTCACATCAGATGCAACCAAAGTCTCTTCAACTCCATCTGTTGGTAATGTTGTCAGTGTCTCTACAGCTTCTACTGTCACAAGTGCACCTGTCATCCCTCCAGTTCAACCTTTTGCTTTGAACATTTCCAGTCCAGTAGTCCAGATGCCTTCTCCTACCATCTTAGGTAATCAGAATAAAAGAATGTCAGACTGTGTTTCTCAGGTGGTCGTTCAGCAACCTATCCTAGTAAATCAAAATGGTTCTTTGGCACTCATAAGTGCTGCTGGACCACGCCTACCTACAAATATCCGTCCAGCCCCTGTCGCAAATATTTCTAACGTTCCACCCAGCCCTGCAACATCTTCAGCTTCTTCTGTTAATAATGTACCTGCTGTACACACTGTCAGTACAACTTCTGTTGCTGGGAGTGACATTTCCACAGTTGCAACATCACATGCTATTCCGCAGGCCAATTTTGTGTATGGCCTCACAGTTCCCATCCAACACAGCTTGCCAACCCCTTCAGTCGGGATATGTGCTAGTACATCATTCAGACCTATGACTCCTAGTTGTCAGATTTTGCCTCAAACTGTAGTACAGCTGACAGGCCTGCAGGCAAAAAAGCAGCCCCTTCAGACAGGAACCACCACATCTAATCCAAGCCCCAAACCTGGTGCTTTGTCTTTTGAGTCTAACCTCATGTTCCTTGAGGATCCAGCTCAAGTGAAGAACTGGATGCAAGGAAATGGTGGAATTTCACTGGCTCAACTGGAGAAAAAAATGCCCTACCTTCCCCCATTTGTCAGCAGTATCAATACACTGGTCTCTTTGCTCAAGGCAAAAGAGTCTTTTTTGCGGGGAGCAGTGCAGCTCCTGCCTGAAGAGGAACGAGCCAAAAGTGAGGAGGAAGCTAAGGTAGCTGCTATACGGAAACTGGTATCTGAACGATTTAAAACCAACCCTGCATACTCACTTCTGAAGGCTCGGTTCTTATCATGTTTTACTTTACCTGCCCTCTTGGCCACCATACACCCATGTAAAGAGTCCAGATTGCCTGGTTCAGCCGTGCTTAGTGGTGACGAAGATGAAGAAGACGATAAGGATGAAGTCAAGCTGATACAGGGTGGAAGTGAAGATCAGCCTGCTGTGAGTTGTGCATTAACATGATCATTGTTACAGGAATTAATGTAGTTTGTTCCTCTTTGTGATGAGAATTGTTTTTGTAGAGGATTGATAGGTTTTCTGTATTTCTCTTGCAGGTGGTTTTGCTCAACACAAATGCAAGTGAAGCATCAGCAACACAGTTCTCAGGGATGAATGCAAGAAAGCAAAGCAACAGCCATACTACTGCGTAATGGGGAAGCAAGCATCATACTTTTTACTTGAGAACAGGATATTAATAAAAGTTCTTTTTTTGGGTTCTGTAAACTGTTACGTTATGCTAATTATGTTATTGAAATGCTGAGAGTTCAGTGCTAATTGTGCATTTAATTGCTTACACTAAATTACATAATTGCTAAAAAAAAAAAAGCTGTAAAATATTTATAATGTGTTGTATGTTTTTGTCCAAAGAATAGTTTAAAAAAATATCAAAAAATATTTTTGAATAAAGCTTTTTGCTTAATCGTTCATAATCGGCTTCTTCTTCACCGATTTATATGTTGACATTAATAACATCAGTAAACATGATTAAAAATCAATTTTAATTACAGGAATATATTTTGAGCGTTCAGGTACAGCCACTGCAGTCATCTTCATTCCTGCTAAGTCACGAGGTAATCACAGTGGCACAACTGATTGGGAAAGAGACGGAAATGGAAAAACTGAAATGGTAACTAGAAAGGGGAACTACAATAGGTTCTGGTTGACCATCATTTCCTGTTTGCGTCTTGCATACTGCATATCAGACGTCAGTACTGTCACAGTGTTCAGTTGAGAGGTAAAGAAGAAACATCCACAGAAGACGATGACCATGGCTGATGGCCCAGGTGCTCTCGAGTTTGAGGAGGATGAAGAGTGTTGGATGCGGCTGGAAGACCACAGGATGCTTCTCATCAAGACCATTGAACCTTCACGAATAATACCATATCTGAGACAATGCAAGGTGCTTAACAGTGAGGATGAGGAACAGATTTACAATGACCCGAGTCTGGTTGTTAGAGGGCGTAAAGTAGGTAAGAAACCTGAGTCTGAGACAGAGCCAAAACACGTGGGCCTTATCCCTTTTCTTGTATTGGTGCTTGATTTTAGACATTGTTGTTTAGGTGTGCTGCTAGACATATTACAGCGGACGGGTCTGAAGGGATATGTAGCATTCCTAGAGAGTTTGGAGCTGGACTATCCTCAACTATATCAGAAAATCACAGGCAAGGAGCCTTCTCGGGTCTTCTCTATACTTGTGGGTAAGTTCACTACTTATTAAAGCGTGCAATATTAGGTCATGGTGTTTGTTGGTAACAGTGTTTTCACTGGAAAATAATGATGTATCCTAAACATGCATTTAGTTCTAAAACCTAAATACAGTGTTAGATGTGGCTTTTTTATTTTCATTTTACATGGTTTACTATCACTATCAGATAAAAATTGATTTTTTTTTGTTTTATATAAAATACATTACAACTGTGTTGGCATTAACACGTGTCATTTTTTCATTTATTTTTGGTTTTTATTTCTACATTCTTGATTTGCAACTGATGAACAGCTTACTAATAATCAAGTAAAATAAATAAAGTACAGAGCCCCTAACGTGACATGATTATTATTTTTTAATAAGGAATGGCCACAAATGAATATTTTCAGCCCACAAGTTACAATATAGAGGCCACGAGTTATGAGAAACTTATCTTGTGGCCTCAGTATATTAATTAATGGCCAAAACTTATTAATAAATAATCACCTAGTCACCTTAGGGCAGGGCTGCATAACTCCAGTCTTGAAGGGCTGGTGTACAGCACAGTTTGGTGATCTTGCTGTTCGGACAAACCTGATCAACTCCTGTGTTAACTGGCAGGTTTACTAGATGTTTGCAGGACACCGACCATCCAGGACTGGAGTTGTGCATCCCTGCTTTAGGAGCTCCATAAAATAGGCTACAAATCCCGTAAAGTATCTAGCCTAACGTTTAAAATAACACTGTAACAACACTTGTTCGCCCCCAGACACCGCGGGTGAATCCGGACTGACCCAGTTCCTCATGAGTGAAGTGACCCGCCTGCAGAAGGCGCTTCAGGACGAGCGCAGGTCGAGGCTCGAGGTGGCGGCGCGTGCTGCCGAGCACATGGACTCCTATCGGCAGCTACAGACGCGCGAGTGCGAACTTCGCAAACAGCACGAGCGCGTGCTGCGCATGCGCGAGGACCGCGAGAAGCTGTGGGACGAGGCGCGGCGCCTGAAGGACGAGAACTACAGACTGATGCACGACGTGACGCGCCTCAGCGAGGAGAAGAACGGCGCTCTCATGCGCACGCGGGACCTGCAGCTGGAGGTCAGACAGGCAGAACGCACTCCCTGAGCACGTGGTCTGTTGTGGTCAGCAGAACATTTTCATACAGTGTGTTGTTGACGTGAAATAGTTCATGGGCCTCGCCCACAACTCACTCTGTCTGCCTGTAGACCGTAGAGTTTAAATAATAACAGAGAACTCGCCGTCCATTTTATCATTAAGGACAAACAAAATACCCTCCAGGGCTCAAAGGTAGTGACTGGGGTGGTTTATTTTTAAGTTGCATTGCCCCTAGGCTTTGAAATTTATTTTTTTACCTAAAAAAAGTTGTGAAAAAGTACAAATATGCCCCTGTCCCCCTGTAAATGTAGTTTACGTTTAAATGATAAGCTTATAAACTTCACTTTTGTAGTGCATTTTAATGCAGCTCTAAGTGCTTTGAACTAAAAGCAACAGACAAATAAAATAAATATGGTATTCACATAACATCTGCAAAAAACAAGATGCAGAAATAATAGCAGTGGGAAAAGGGAAATAATAACAAAGTCATAAAAAATAGAATACAAGTATGATAAAATTCCAGTAGAAATGATTGAATAGTAGTTGAATGGTAAAGTGAAAAAGTAAGTTTTTAACTGTTTCTTATTCAACTCAACGATACAAGGAGGCTTACGGATATTTATTACTAATGTGTTCCAAATCCGAAGCCTGCTTCATAAAATTAAGGTACAGACTGTGACCTTAAGGACCATGTAGTACTTTTGATGGAGTATTTACATTGTTAGTGTCTTGAGATAAAAAAATGTACATGGACAGTCCCCTTTTTTTCTCAAAGTGCACCTTGAATTACACTCACTTCCTTAGGCTTCATCTCAAATGGCTCCATACTCCCTGAGTGATGTAATATGTAGGTTATGAAATAATAGCTTCTACAGCCAAATAGTGCCTTGTATGTGTAAGAGAGATCTATTAAGAATTCATTCATATGGTGCACATCTCCATATTGGACATACAGTGCACTATTTGGGTGTAGAATCTAGTGGTGCTCTTGGTGGTAACTATTTTTTGTAACTATTTAACAAAACAGAACCTTCATGACCTGCAAAATGATATATATTATTCTAAAATCTTAAAATATCCAAATGATTCCATTGAATATTAAAACATATAATTTAATAAAATATGTATGCCTCATAGCAAGAGTTCTCAGGAATCTATCTAACCTTCTTATTAGGCTGGTGGCATGTTAGCCATCTTAATATGACGTATAATTATTGTGATCAAAATAGGTAGTCTTTCGAAAACATTTATGTTAACATTAGATGTTAGTGGGTAGACTGACATGCCTTGTGGGCTTCTACTTGTCATATTTTCTATTGAAATTGACTTTCATTATGTGGGGTCCCATTCATACATTCGCTCTGGGGCCCATAAGGACCTAGTTATGTCTCTGGTAGAATCCACATAATGCGTTATATAGGGAGAAAAGAGGCATTTGAAATGCAGCCTTAGGAAACCTGTGGATAAGTTGTCATGCACAAGTTGTAAGCTTCCCTCTTCCCCATTCGTCACTGACTGCGGGTTTGCTCTTTTTCAGATATTATTTTAGACCTTTTTTAACACAGCGGTGACACTGATGTGGCAATGGCATTGTAGTGGAGTTACTTGGAACACACGTCAGTACCACTGTAAATTGAGTGTGGTGAACCACTTAAAAGTATATATAGCCAAGCATAGCTCTTGATGGAGGGCTAGGGGATGATTAACATGAATTGTGTATGACAACAGGCAACAGTATCTAACTGCACACGAGCAATGTAAATAATAAATATTCCCATTAATAAAGTCTCAGTCTGTTTTTTTTTAACACAGTCCAAAATGGTGCTCTGTTCATGTGTAGACAGTGTAGCTGTTTATTATGATCTTCTTACTGTGCTATAGCAACATTTCATGTGATTAAGCTCTGAGAACGAACTTCTTTGTTGTCTGACAGATTGAGAGACTGAAGCACAGCTTAATGAATGCAGAGAGTGATTCCAAGATTCAGCGCAAACGGACGATGACACTGAAGAATGCCATGGAGCAAAGGCCTAGCCAGGAAATGATCTGGGAGCTCCAGAAACAGAATGATCTTCTCACTGCTCAATTGCAGGAGCTTCAGAATTCTTCTCAGGTAAACCAGCCTAAAAAAAAACCCCCAAAACAAACAAACAAAAAAAACATATGGGTCCTGCTAAGTCAAAATTATTTCAATGACTGTGATTTTTTCCCAGGTCCAAACATCAGAGCACAACAAGCTTAGCATTCAGGCGCTGGAAGATTTCAAGAAGCAAAGCCAAGCACAACATGAGGATTTGGTGAATGACATTTATGCATTACGGAGGGAGCTGCATGATGCAAAGGAGCTGCGAGATAAGGTTTGTGCAAATGTTTTTATGTTTTAAGCCTAGCCACCACGAATGTCCACATATTCTCAGCAGCAAATACCAGGAATGCTCTAGAAGAGTTACCTTATGTTTGCAGTACCAAGAAAAGAAGGATGAACTGGAGCTGAAGTGCGCAATCTTAAAGAAAGACTCCAAGATGTATTGTAACCGCATGGGGGAAATCTTGAAGCAGCTGGATGAGGTCATCAAAGAGAGAGATAAGGTGATGAAATCAAATGATTTCAACTCGTCTCTATAGCGGTAGCAGTCCACCATCAAATTAATCACACTGCCTTTTTTTAACCACTTCGATGTCCCAGGCCTATTACACTCTAAAGCTTATTATTCAGTAACTACATAGAAAGCAATGCAAAGTGGCTTAACTTTTTAAATGGTCAAAATTTTATTAAATACTTAAATATTTATTAAATACTTCTACAACCTAAGAAAAGCTCAGCCAGTTTGCAAAGTCTGATAGTTACTGAATAATAAGCTTTAGTAGGTAATAAGCCTGGAATTTTAAAGGATTAAGTTATAAGCAGTGAGCAATGGAAGCTTTAAATGTCCAGTCTCTATTATGTTGTAAAAGCCCTTTTTTTTTCTTTTAAAAAGGCTATTGCTGCACGTGAAGAGTACCACCAGGAAAACTGCAAAAGCCTCCAGGACAAGGACAGGTACCGCAAGCAGATCCGTGAGATGAGAGAGCACTATGATGAGCTTCAGGTCCAGCTCTTCCGGACTCAAGGAGAAGTTGTAGCCCTCCAGGCAAAAGTTCGCAAACAGAAACACTTACAGCAAACAATAGCAGTAAGCAACTGTCATGTTATATAGGACTGTGCAGAAGCCAGAGACCAGCCTTTCAGTCATTTCCAGTCAAAATTGCCATCAAGTACAAGTTATTCAGTTTTCAGCATCAGGGAAAAAAAAACAAAAAATACATATTTGACAGAAAATTACACAGAAGCCTCAACAACTAAACCATTTTTTCATTGTTTACCTACAACTTTTATTCTTTTTCAGGGGGCTTCCTTTCAGTTTTTTCCAAGGGATATTTTCCAGGGATATTTTTCCACACCTTCAAAGTTCAGTCTTAGAAGTTGATTTTTTCTCTTTTTCAAGATCCAAGTAATCCCAAATACAAATTCTTTTGTGTCTATTTCCTTTTCCCAGTGACATCTTCTTGACAGCTACACATCCTTTCAGGCTCATAGTGTTGAGTTGTCTTCTCACAGATGAACAGAAACGTGTGGATTTTTTCAGATCTGAAGCAAGAGTGGAGCTTGATTTTCTCCTCTCTCTCAAAGATGAATGCTTAGCGTTCTGTTTGTCTGATGGTGACAGGCCTGGTGGTCTTGTATTCTTTTTATATTTTTTAATCATTTTTTGAACTTTTTTTCTAAACCTTCCTTTGCCTTTTTTCCTCCATATACAAGTGGATTGTCTTTTATCCAATCTCTTCAGAAATATGTCCTTAGGCCATTTTATATACACATGAGAAAGACATTTGCGAGGCAGCTAAGGTGCATAGTTGCTTGTGTGAATGTTAGTGTCTTTTTGAAGGGGAGCATAACGTCAGTAACTTCTTTTAGGAACAGGTTTTGTTGGGAGGACACAGCTGTAACTGGTTGGTTTTAAGAACGATTGAAGAGTGGCAGTAGAGTGCACAAAAGTGAAGAGTGGACAAATTAAATGGTTATAGATTTTACTAAATAACTTGTACTTAATGGACAATTTGACTGGAAATTAAATACATGAAATGGTTTCTGATACTCCCACATTATCAGATGAACTGCAAACACAGTACAGTACATTTTCATCCAGTGCGTCATTGAGTGAAAAATAAATTACTATTCTTAATAGTTTAACTGACAACTGTATGTATGATTGCAGACAGTGCTTCATCACTTTATTGTAGTGAACAAACATGTTATGTGTCATTCAACAGTAATGTGATAATATATTATGAATGTAATGTTTCTCTTTTTTCCCACCAGACATCAGAAGAAAGCTTTTATCAGAGCTCATTGGAGGTAAGTGTGCTGTGATCTTTTTTCATTGTAAAATCTAGTCAAAAAGTTCATTGCATTGTTGTCCACTCTGAATGTGTATGCATCTTCCCTCTGTTGCACAAGTTCCCGTTTTGTTGCTATTTCTTTCTGCTTTCACATGAGAACCATAACAACTGACTCTTTACATTTTCCACTTTAGCTAAAAAGCCAGACAAGTGAGGAGGACATGAAGGAGAGATATGACAAAGGTGCTCTATTTTTAGTGACTTAGTTTCATTTCATGTATTTATTCCCCAATTAGCAAATTCCCAGCTCAAATACCTAATATAAAAAATAAACCTCATTCACTGCTCAATAATAGATCTTGTTAAACCACAGTTATAGACCAGTTTTTCACATTTTTGTTTGTTTGTTTTTCTCCTTTCTTTGTTAGCATCAGGTATAAGTGAGGATTCTCAAAGTGCAACGTCAGGAGAATACAATGTATGCATAAGTATCAAAGACCCATGTCCCTCAGAGGTGAAGGAAGAAGGATTTAAGGTAACAGAAGACTCAAACTCAATAAAAATAAAAATGTTCTTTATAAGATATTTGGAAAACGAGTATGCCTTCTCTTCACATGTTTTTTTTATATTAATTGTGATACAGGAGAGGATGTTCTCTGAGGAGGAACTATCAGCTGGCTACACGCTCAGGACGCGATACAATTTTCATTACAGAAGGTTCGTATTGTGCCCTCAGCTACTGTGCTTCCAGCAAAACCGATGCACTTCAAAATCATATAGTCCTGTTATGCTTTTTTAGTTGTTCCTGGAATGATCTAGGTTGTTTTTAAAAAAGTAAATCCAGTCCATCAAAATCACAGAAATAACACCTTTCTTAATGGTTTCTAATTGTGTACTCTCATGACAGGAAACGTGCTTTGAGAACAAAGGCTACTGTTAAGGAGAGTGTCATAGAGTGCAATCATAGTATTCTGGACAACACCAGTGGGAGTGACAACACAGACACAGATGGAATATGACATAAGCAAACCAACCAGGGGAGGAAATGTCGCCTTTGCTGAATAGCTTGCCATCAACCTATGGAGAGGCCAAAGGCTAGAGATTTTTTTTAACATAAAAACACTGTCACTGATCACTTCAAGTCTTCTCACTGGTTGGCTTATTATCATCATCATCATTATTATTATTATTATTATTATTATTATTGATAAATGTACCATAGGCCTATGCTCACAGCATCCACAATCATTGTCATACTACTGAATAATTATTTTTTTCGAAAGTCTGATATATCATGAATGTAACAAAATACAGATGCTTATCCTTTCTTGTGTGTCAAATGTCTTTCTCTTTTGTATTTTTACAAAGAGCAGAAATGTTTTCCTCTAACATGCACAAAACAAGTTTCTTATTGAAACAAGTTGGCATTTAATTTAAGAAAATGAAATTAGGTACCTTGCATGTTGACTATAGCTACACATTAAAATACAACGAAAATGTCCTACTGTGTCTATAGGAAATCCAGTCATGACAGCTGCTGGTTGGATCTATAGACCAGGCTGATCCTCTTGCCGGCGCTCTCAGTTGGACTTTTTGTCCTCCGGTCGCTTGGTAACCACAGCAACCGAGAAACGCTAGAGCAGTAGCTGCAGCAGTACAGAGTGGAGCCCTTTTCATTTTCCTTGTTAAAACTCAAACATGGGGCTCCCCAGATATAAAGATAACAACTTCTTGCGGTACCACATAATTTATATTTCATTACACAGCCGAACTGTGATCTAACGTTAGTTCATTAGTTAATTAGATAGAGTTTGTTAGCCACTGCACAACAATGGCTGAAACTCGCGTTGTTCCGAGCGGAAAGGTATACCGACAAATGTTTGATGCCCAGGTGAGGGAAATTATTTGACACTTTATTTGCGATCAACACTTTACGAGCAAGGAGTTTCGTTAGATTTAGGTTAGCTGATAAGCTATTGTTTTATCATCTATCTGAGTCACGGTCATGTATCCCTGTTGGCATCAAAACGGTTGGCAAGACAGTCAAAGCTGAGTCTGAACATCAGATCGGTGGAAATATGAATGTGAATGGGGTGGGGAAACTTTTACGGCCAGTTAAAATGTATTTTACCACGTTTTAACATGTAGCTAACACTAACGAATGCTAAACAATAGATTAGCACAAACTTTAATTTTGAGTTGTTAATCTAAGTTTACAACGTCAGCTAAGATGCACTAAATGGACAAAGGTACTTGGACACACCTTTCAATCATTGAATTCATGTTTGATAATTCGGTTCAAAAATTGAATTCATAATTTCAGGTTATGTCATTCAGTCCCATTGCTACAGGTGTATAAAATCAAGCACCTAGCCATGCAGTCTACCCATTTGTGAACGCATGGGTCGTTTTAAAGAGCTCACTGAATTTGAGCATGGTACTGTAATGGGATGCCACCATTGCAATAAGTCAGTTTGCAAATTTCTTCCCTCCTAAATATTCCATGATCAGCTGTGAGTGGTATTATTGAAAAGTGGAAAGCATTTAGGAACCACAGCAACTCAGCCATGAAGTGGTAAACCACATAAACTTACAGAGCAGTGTTGCTGAGTGCTGAGGTGCATAGTGCATAAAAGTCGCCAACGCAGACTCAGTAAACCTCCAAACCTCCTCTTGCATTAACATCAGCACAAAAACTCTCGATGAGCTTGATGGCATGGGTTTCCATGGCCGAGCAGTTGCATGCAAGCCTTATATCATCAAGCACAATACCAAGCGCCGGAAGGAGTGGCGTAAAGCACGCTGTCACTGGACTCTTGAGCAGTGGAAACATATTCTGTAGAGTGATTTCTCTATCTGGCAGTCTGATGGACGAATCTGGGTTTGGTGAATGCCAGGAAAAGCTTACCTGCCTGACTGCATTATGACAACTGTAACGTTTGGTGAATGAGGGATAATGCTGTGGGGTTGTTTTTCAAGGCTTGGCATAGGCCGCTTAGTTCCAGTAAAGGGAAATCTTAGTGCCTTAGCAAACCAAGACATTTTGTACAATTGTGTACAATTGTGTACTTTGTGGGAACAGTTTGGGAAAGGCCCTTTTCTGTTCCAGTATGACTGAGCCCCAGTGCACAAAGCAAGGTCCATAAAGGCATGATTGGGTAAGTTTGGTGTGGAAGAACTTGACTGGCCCACACAGAGCCCTGACCTCAACCCCATCAAACACCTTTGGGATGAACTAGATCAGAGACTGCGAACCAGGCCCTCAAGTTCAACATCAGTGTGTGACCTCACAAATGCTCTTCTGAATGTATGAGCAAAAATTCCCACAGACACTCTCCAAAATCTTATAGAAGGTTTCCCAGAAGAGTGGAAGCTGTTATAGCTTCAAAGGGGGGACCAGCTCCATGTTATTGAGGTTAGAATGGGATGTCATAAAAGCTCCTGTGGGTGTAATGTGTAGGTGTTCCAATACTTTTGTCCATATAGTGTGCCTTAGCAGACTCCTTGAAGATGTGTGGCTTCGCATCGCTGCTTCACTCTAGTAGGCTTTTTTCTGTGATGGTAGCTTCATTCATTGCACATATTGTTTGTATTAATTGATTAAGAAGTGTGATCAGTTAATGGCCATTTTAAGCAACTAAATTTAATAACACTTAAAATTAAATGCAGGAAAACACTGTACAGAAAACTGCTCCTTCTGTGGAGGTGGGTGTTAACAGGAATACTGACAGCACAAACTGATGACACAGCAGACATTTTTTCTTATTTCTTTAAAAGTATTGGCTCAAATATGACCAATCAAAATGCTAGGCAGATTTTGCAAAGTCCAGCCAATTATTACATCCTATATACCTTCGGGTATTTCTGCAAAATGCATAAATACTAACTTATACAGACGTCAAAACAGTTGGTTTTTCCTTCTTAGGTTCATTTATCTTTGTCTCTTCATGAGACTCGGAGGAGGCGTGTTACAAATGATGGTTACCTCAGTGGAGATGACCCTATAAGCAGAGACACAGATAGTGGGCCACACCAGCACGCTGGGGCTAATCGAGGCTCTGGCGATATGACTATAAGGTACAACATTCATGTGATAAATTTGGTCTACTTTATGTGCCCTGCTGAACAAATGTCTTCATCATTGAGTGTTTCTGTTGGTTCCTGATGTTTTTGCAATGTGTTTTGGGTTTTTCAGTGGGTTGATACCACAATGCAAAGGATCACAGCTAATGGTTTGACTAATGACTGATTTTAAATGCCTTTGATTGTTTCCTAATGGGATCTAAAGGCACATGTGAGAGACTTTCACAAGACCTTCCTCAGTGAATCTACTGAGAAAAGTCTTTAACTGAAACATGTACGCAAAAAGTTTTACATATACAGCAAGTTATATTATGTGTATTGTGGCTGAATATGTTCAGTTAAAGTCTGTCAAGTCTTCAACGTTTATTTTATAGTGTATAAAATATGTTGTTTGACAGGAACCAGACACTGTCAGGCATTAGGAGTGAGGATCGTGTTGATTATGAAGAGATTCGAGGATTGCCTGATAACGTTGGTTGGTAGAGTTCGTAATAATGTTAAAGAACAGAGCACATTCATTTCACTTTATTTCATCTGAAAACTCTTTCATGCAAACTCTTCCCACAGTTTCAGCAAAGACAGGCTCTGACATCATTGAGCGGCTCATGGAGAAAAGACAAAGGGATCACACAGAATCTGTCGCTCAGCTTCAGGCAGACCTTTCTGTGCTCAGTGTGGTACATGCCCTGATATGTTTTTATTCAGACCTGGTGATGAATATGCATACATTTTAAAACTGTATCAAGAAGCCATGGTGTTACTATAGATCGGTCATGTCATGTTGTGGCTTGGACTCAGTAGTTGTCTTCAAAACAGTTCATTTGGATAGCCCACTGTAGATGCTTTGTAGATGCATTTAACTTACATTCAACTAAATATCTATTATATTCACCTTAATGTTCACTAACCCCAACACTTGACCTAATCCTGACCTTAAATCTAGTTTTAAACCTAACCCTGGTATTAATTCTTCCTAGCCCTAAGACTGTTGAGAATCAACACTAGATGTTTTGTTAATAATTTGCACATCTGTAGATAATCTATAGGGGGCTATCCAAATAAGGTGGTACCATTGTCTCTTCTTTCTCAGGGATATGAGCCATTGTTCAAACAAACTGGAGAAGATATCCTTCTCAGACTGTCAGAGTGTGATGACAAGCTAGAGAAACTTTTGCAGAAGGTAGAAATCGTTGCTGATTTAGAAGCCTTCAGCTATCAGGTGAGTGTCCACATCTATGTGGTTTCATAATATGGCTTATTAGTAATAGTATAACATCTTTCAATTTATGAGGGAATTTGTATAAATTCTGTGCTCAGGTGGCTGTTGAGTTGTTGACATCTCAGTGTGGCAGATTTTGTTTTCATTTTCTCTCAGGATCTGCATGAGTTTTGGAGCAATGTTAGTCATGAGTCTGCTATGAGGAGAAAGTTAATACAGGAGCTGGATGAGACATTCATCAAATTTGAGGCAGAAAGAGCATTAATGGTACATGTGTACAGTGGATCCGTGTTGAGATGCTGTCCATATTGTCATGCATAGACATATGATGTCACATTATATGTAATTTGTCTTTGTTCTCCAGATTTCAGCATTGCTAAAGAAATATGCGGCAAAACTTGAAAAAATCAGTTATGTCATGCCCTCTGACGTCCATCGTCTGATTGATAATGAAGCTATGGTAGGATACTCTCTCTGTAGAAAATGTCATGACTTTTTTGAAGCCTGTATGTATTCATGATGGGTTCCTTTTTCACAGATGATCAACCAAGCATTATTGGCAAATAGGCGAGCTATAGCCAAACTGCATTTGAACCTGATGGAAAAGGATCTGCAGAAAGAGGCTCTTCACCGTCAGAAGTGGGAGACCAAGCTTCAGGACTGGAAGAGAATCAAAGTTCTGGCTGCAGTCAGATGGTTTAAGTCAGTCCAATAGAACACATTCTGCCTCCATATTGAAGTGTTGAATATAGTAACATAGATTTTATTTGGCAAAAAATATGTTGCCCCACTACTTCAGCTTGATGAGTGGAAACAAAAACCAAACCATAGTCTTGGGAGTTATAAACTTATGTTTATAACTGGGAATACAGGCTGTTGTGGAAAAGCATTTCAATACACTACACTACAATTTACTCTAAGACTAGATTTTATCTATGTCTGGTAAACTGACCCTTTCATATAGAGCGTACAGAAAAGTATATTCATTATTAGTCCTAAAGCATGATAAAAAAGAAATTACTTCTCATGTTTCATTTTCAGAAACTTCATAAACAGCCCTGCAATTCAGAGCCCTAAAAATGTACAAGACACTCTGAACACCATGTGGAAAACGCAAGAAATGTACAGTGAGCAACGTATCAAAATCCTTGAGCAAATCAGGTGAAGTATTTAAACTTGGACTGCAAACTACATTTTTAAAAAGCATGGTTATAGTAACATCATTTTGAATTTGTGTTTCTGTTTGAAGAACTATGATCCCTCCAAGATGCTCTAAGGCATTAGTTGCTGAATGGTACTCCTCTTTGTCTTTAGTCAATGAGAAAATTGGTAAGAATATCCTATTTGTATATTGACATAATATATTTAAGCATAGTTTTTTGACTCACTGTGCCGATATTACAACTTTTCAGACTGCATGCACATTGACACAATGACGAAACTGCGTAAATATTATGAAAACACCTGGCAAGAATGTTTGGCAGAAACTGAACGCTTCAAGGTTAGAGACATAATGATTTCATATTTTCCATTAGTAGAGTGTTTGTAACACTGAAAAACAGATAAAACCTGCCCCCATTTTCATAAACAGAATGAAGTATCTACATATGGATTCACTTCAGATGAGGCACAGGACATCATTAATGCTGATCTGCTACCTGTAATTGGCAAGTGCCAGAAACAAGCAGAGGGACATTTGGCAGCAATGGATGTAAGTTCAAGGAAAGTACAGTATCTGTAAAAAAGAATTGGCTGCCTCAAAAAGTTAACTGAACAATAATCCGTGTGTTACTTTCTGTGAACCTTATTATTTGAAGTTCAATAAAATATAATGGTCAGTGCTACTATTTTTTCAAAATTAGATCAGTGAGAAGTGAACAGTATAATAACAGTTTTCCTTGCATACTATGTTGCCTTAGTACGCACTGCATGTACCTCTCTGCCGTGAGTGGATTTAAAAAATATATACACACTTTTTAATTGCCAAAATCTTTTCTCAAAACTGTTGTAAAACAATGTCTCAGGCATCAGGCAGCATATTTGTAATTATTTCATGTAATGACTTCTGTGATGTAGCTTTTAGAGTCATTAAACGCTTCAGACATCTGGTTCCTATCACCACCACTGTGAACAAATCTGACTTGGTTAGTTTCACTAGAATGGCGCATTTCACGTCAAACCACTCTGTGTGACTTTTTTACATCGTAATTATACACAAATGTAGAAAAAGTGTGTAATCTTCATTTTTTTATTTTACAGAAAGCTTTTGAGAATCTGGCCAAGACTGCCGCCCGTTTGAGTAAGTCCTTGTTCAAATTAATGCGTGGTGCAGCTCACCTGTGGGAGGTGCACGGTGCAGGCCTGCAGATAAGAGAGCAGCAGCTGCAGGATCAGCTTGAGGAAGTTCGCTATTACTATGACCAGGAAAACCAGGTGAGGCGGATCACAATGTCCTAACCCGTTTGCATGTAGACAGAGGTCAATTAAGGTGAGTCTTTCTGTTTTTGTCTAGTGGAAAGTTGGATACTCCTGTGTTATTGTTCAAAGTAGTTACTATACAGTTGACCTCTGTTGATGCATATGCAATTATTTTAGAAATGCCTTTCCATACGAGTCTGCACAATTTGTGTTTTGCTGCTAGAAAAAAGAGGCTCAGCTGGACGTGTTGATGGACAAACTCAGACAGGAAAGTACAGAGGAAGCCCTGAAAGCTGCATTAGAGAAAACTCTTGCTTTCTTGGAGGAAGTTAAGGATGGGTAATCAGTTATTTCTGCTTTTTTGAGGGGATATACGCATCAAATCACCCGATTTCAGAACTGCTTGTCTTGGATTTGCTTAATAATTTTCAGGAAATAGCTACTGTAAAAATGCCTAAGGCATCAGCTAACATATTATTATTATTATTATTATTATTATTTAAGAAATATTGTCAAAATTTTAGTATGTCTTTTTCCAGATAGTTTAGATATACAGAATCACAGAAGTTTATGTAGCTTTAATTTTTGCCCTAAATGAGTGCTAAGGAAGAAAGTACAAACTTTGATAAGTTATTACCTTTTAAGTGCTGAAGCTAGATTTATACATTTTTCAGTGCTTATTCTTAGATTTAAGGTATGTTTAACCTAAATGGGATCTTGAAATAATAACTACATCAGATCATTTTGTATTTATTAATCATATCACAGTACTTTTTTATTTTACAGTAAAATTATTTCCTGGAAGTATTAAGCAAGTATTATTGTGGTAGTTGGGTCAGGAGGCTTTGCTTTTACATGGACTGACCATAGGTTCACTTTGTGGTTTAGTCACCATAGCTAATATCCAGATATTTTCAATTTCGTGTTCTACAGACATGTCACTTTCTATAAAGAGGAAGTTGAAACAGTGGAGAGTTTCCCTGCAATGGTCCTAGAAGAATTACAGTCTTACAGCTCAGCACTCAGTCGATACTTCAGTGTGAAAGAAGTGTGCAACCAGGTACAGATTCAGTCTTGACTTGGCTTCATGCAAATAAACTTGCAGCCAGTACTGTTGTCATAGTTCCCTACATGTATACATCATCTTCATTTACTTTTTAAGATTTTTGGGTCATAAGTAATCCCAAGTCTGTTTACATATGCCAGGATCTCAAGGAGCTTCAAACACTTTATCCTTCTCTTAAATTTGGTGAGTCAAAAATCTGTGTCATTCACTTTTCTTGGAATCTGTCGATATCTTTTCATGTACAGTACTGTGCAAAAGTCAAAGAACACCCTTGATTTGTTTAATTTCTAGTCAAAAAAGGCCATTAAGTACAAGTCACTCTTTTTCAGTAGATATTTGTGAGGACATTAGATATAAAATAATCCACTGGCATAAGTCAAAGGAAAGTACGTTTTAGAAATAGGAATTTTTAGAACTGGAGTTCAAACATTTTTTACAGACATAAAGGAAATAGACTCCTAAGACCTGGTAGACCACCAAAACTATGAACTATCACCATAAACTTAACAAAACAAAACACATAGCCTTTCATCACTGAGAGATAAGAGAAAATCAAGGTCCACTCTAGCTTCAGGTCTAAAAACATTCCACAGGTGCATCTGTCCATCCTTCCACTGTGTGAAGACAACTCACTGTTGTAGGTCTGCAGGGTATGCAGCTGTCAAGAAGCTGTTACTGAGACAAAAAGCAGTTGTTGAGGTTTCTGTGTAATTTTCTGTTCAATATGTTTTCTGCTATTTTTACGGACGCTGAAAAATGAATAACTGTAATTAATGACTGGTAATTGAATAAATGAAGGGTGCTCTGCTTTGCACAGCATTGCATGTTTGATGTCTGACTGCTGAATTTTATCAGATGCCAGCATAAAGAGGAAAAGAACAGTAGCAAGTCCGAGGAGGAAACACCAACCAGATGTTTCCCAGAAGGCAAATCCACATTGCTCCATTGACTCAGTCTTCACAGAGGTAGATATATGTGTGAATTTTATTCCTAACTTATTAAAAAATTCCATTGTGTTTGTTTTTTATGGTTTGTTTTGTTTTTTTGTTTTGTTTTCTAGCATGACCTTAATGATTTCTCACAGGAATTTCATGACCCTCAAAACAATGAAACTTTCACAACTGCAAAGGGCCATGTGTTTAACTGCTACGGCTTTGTAAGGCCATGTGAGGGTGAGGTGGATGTGAACCTTGAGGAAGTGGAGCGAGTGTTGTACCCAAGAAGTCTCCTGATTGAATTACAAAAAACGTAAGACTGGTGTATTTAAAAGCAACAAGATAACACTAGTTTCTTGTTATTGTCGTCTGCTTTCAAATCTGGTTTGTCCCACTGTTGCAGCATTAGAGAAGAGTTCTTTAATCATCTTGAGGAGAGGTTTTATGCAGTACTGAATAACACAGTGACAATCGTCCAAGCCAAGAAGGAGGAGCTGAAGGCTCAGTTAGATCTCCGCCTCCATCTTCACCAACCTCGAGCCAAGAGAGTTGAGGTGGAGATTCATGATGTCCGAGCAGGTGTGTCCTTACCCGACTACCGCTGTTAATTACTGATTGTACTGTAGATTCATGACATATCTGCTTTGCACATGGTTTGAACAGTATATGATAATGTAAATATGGGTATTTTAAAACTTGTTTGCACACTCTCTGTATGATGCTTCCAGCTGAACTGATCTCACATCGAGATCATGTGGATAGACATTGCAAAGGTATCCAACAGGCCTTAGCTGATTTCCAAACCGACTTCAACGAGCTGCAGGTCAGACAACACAAATTAACTGAAAACTTTCGCTCTCAAATCTACAACATGGAGGACACTTTTAAAATTGCTACCAAATCTGACAAGTAAGTATCTTTGTGATTAGCCAGTAATAATAACAGTGGAAAAAAGATTTGGGCTGGGTTTCGTGTTTTGTGCTCCATGCTTATCTATGTGCTTGTCTTTAACAGGCTGGTAAAACTTTGTGCTTCACTACAAACCAGCTTGGTTGAACACATGAATGTCATTCAGGAATCACAGAGACACTTCAGACAAAACATAGAGCTCAAATTTGAGGGCCTTAGAGAGGCTAATGCACAATTAATGAAATCTTTCAAGTAAGTCGATGATATATTTTCGGGTTTTAGTGTGAGTCTAGTATAAATCAGGGAATAAACCGTCTTTTCTGTTATGTAAAGGCTGTTTTCTGAAGGAGGAACTTTCACACCCAAAGAGATTGAAGTATACCAAAAGCGCCTAGAGAAGATAGCCAAGCGAATTGACTCAGCTGATGAGGCTCTTACGCTGCAGATGGAGGGCACAGAGTCCAGATGCCTAGAAAAGGTAACAGTTATTGAGTGACTGAGTGCTACTGAACTATACCTTTTTCAGTAGTGTAGTTAAGAAGTTAACAGTGCACTTTTGCTGACTAAATGACTGAAACAGAACACTTATAAGTAATTTATTTCTGTTTACTTTGTCAGGCAAAAGATGTAATCAACAAGTTTGAAGAGAAGTTCCACTTTCTAACAGTGGATCTAATGTTTCTTGAGAAAATCCAAGGAGTGCTGACAAATACACAGGTCCAGATTAAAGCTGAGGTATTTTAAACACTTTGAAGGTTATTAGTAGGCTATTAGGAATACTCTGCCTCTAACTGTAGTCCATTCTAACAATATATATGTGTACCTGCAGGTAATGAAAAGCAACATGCAGAAAAAGGTGATCACTACTATGATGAGTGAATTGGAAGAAATGATCCATGCTTGTGCCCAAGCCAGTCCAGAAAAGAGGGTAAATCATATTTACAGTTGGGAATGACCAATGCATCAACTGATATTAGAATATACAGACATTTATATTCATGACAAGCATGTTCTATGTATTGTGAATTACACAACTAAAATGTAGAAAATGTACATCGGTTTATATGAAGTGTCTTACAGGTTATAACTTCAGAAGACATCTCCAGTTTATCAGCTTCTCTGATAGAAGAACTACGAAAGAGATGTCAGTATCTTGACTGCTTTTTGGTATGTTGCAGCACCACTACCAGTGATTGGGCTGATGTGTTGAGCCCCCTGTTCTCTAAGATCATTATGTTATTTAAAGATTATGGTAATGATGACGATGACCATCACTCCACTGTTATCATCATTTCCTTAATGCAGGACCCTTCTATGGCTGTTCCACTACCTGATGCCCCTTTGCAGGGGGCATTTGCAGTGGCTGCTCGTCCCCGCTCCCGTAAACAGGAGAAGGTACTAAACCCAGCTGGGGACTCCCTCCTTCAGCCCAGCCGCATGGGAGTTGCCTTTATGAATGATGCAGCTGTAGGAGTGATAAAAGGACTGCTTAGGTAAGAAAAAAGCTATTAAGTGGAAGAACGAAAAATTACAGATTACTAACATTAACCATTAGAACCATTAGTCATTTTGTAATTACATAATTAATTCCAAAGTTACATAATGAGTTAGACTTCAATTTACATGCTGTATCTACAGGTTTAAGCCTGCACATTTGACTTTTTCTGTTATTTTGCTGTTAAGAAATTACACAAATGTGGCAAAAATATCTCATAGTCTACTTACAAACAGAAATTTTGGTTGTACTAGTTGGAAGTTTCGGCACTACTGACAGAATTTCTCTTTTTTTTCAAGTCAAGAGTGAGAAATAATGTCTAATACCAAATTACACAATGCTTAGCGGTTACTGAAACTGTGATTAATTTACACCAAACACAGTAGTTACACAATAGGATATGCAAATATATTTCTTAATGTTATATGTAAATTATATGTTTTGTTCTAAACACAATAGCAGTAGTTCAGAAAGAGCTGAAATAAAAAGAACAATCCTTTTAACTTCTGCTAAACCCAAACATTGCTTCATGTTTGGACAGCGACTGTTTCAACATCTTGGTAACACCCGACAACCCGGAACACATAGTTTCTAACTGACTTGTTCACCACACACTGTCTAAATTTTCCCTTATCAAAACCTCAGGATAAGCAACCCTCAGGCTAATCATGAGGTCAGTGCAGATGTTACAGACCGAAGCTCAGCGGCAGTAACAGGTAAATAACATTAATGTGAACAAGTTACATCTTGAAGTTAAACGTTGTAGTTTGCTATCTGACCCATCAGTCCCTGTCAGACCAAGCTCTCTTGTGGTGTCAGGTCAGAGGTCAGGGAGGAGTCAAAGCCAGTCAGGCCTGGAGACCCTGTGCAGGAAATCAGCTGAGTCTGTCAGCTCACAGAGGTTAGCAAAGTCCATTTTACACCAAAATGTTCTCAGATCACACTTTCACCTTGGCTGACTTTATTATGCGCATCTTTGTTTTGTGGATGTGTCATGTGGCAATTTTCTTTTGGTTTCTTTTTGATAATGTGGTGGTTTATTCCTGTATTAGGTCATATTGGGACTTTTGGTAGTTTTTAATCTGGTTTCACCCTGTTATCTAAGTCTCCTCTGGCAGATGCCAATAATTAGCTAGCATCAATCTGAGGTAGAGAGCCATATTTATCTTCCAATGAGAGCATGACCAACTGTCGTTTCAAGAATTCCCAGCTATGGCAAGTTGTAATAGGGTGCGACCTTTTCAAATGATGCATCTCTTGAGAACCCCTTTTGTAGTTATTTGAGGAATATTCAGCTGATATTTATACCGTCTAAAATTATTTTTTTTTCAGTTTAAGAAGATTCTCCAAACCTACTCGGTTTGATAAAAGGTTCCAGGTGTTTGGCTCTAAACCTGAAGATCAGAAGGGCAAGTAAGTATGTAACAGGCTACATACTTCAAACACACTCTGTTGTATGTACTATATACTTGGCAGCGGAGATGCTCTCATAAATGATGTTGCTGTAGGAGTAATCAAAGGACTGCTTTACACCAAAGGGAGTTAAAAGAAATGACATAGATTTTTCTTAAATTCACTTGTAGTTTACATTCTTATTTTCAAATATGATTGTAATAGTGCCGAAAGGTAGAAATAATAGAATAGTTCTTCTTGGTTGATTTTTATTTTGATTTAAGAATTGATTTTTAATCAATAATATAATGACACATACATATAATAAAATATAATAATACATAAAATTACATGGAAAATCCTTCATATGGAGTTGATGATCCTTTTTTATTTGTGCTATTTTAGCCTCACTTTTAAAGGCTTTCTTGGCAACATTCTGTGGCAAGCCAATGATATTCTTCTCCAGGTGGCTGAGGTATGCACACTCTAATTACAGTTCTTCTGTCTGAATTCTTGCAAAATAACTCAGAACTAATCTTAGTTCAGAATAACTCAGATCTATTAACTCCCCCAATCAGGACTACTACAAGAAGAAGGAGCGTCGTCCTGTCAGCCGCCCTCAGTACATCCAGGAGTCCTTTGAGCCGTGTGCTGAAGAGCTAAACAAGAGGCTTCTTGTCTACCAGAGTCAGTCTTATGAGTACCACAGCTGCTGTGTGCAAGGTTAGTCTGTCCCTGTGATCACATTTACACATGAATGGAGTCTTTTTGATGTTGCGAAACATCTAGCTTTCCAAAATTAATACACAGATGAAAATTACACAAATATGGCACCATGTAAGAACAGTAGCTGATGTTTACTTCTCTGACTAGAGTTCCAGCAGCAGTTGAAGGCTATTGAAGAGTGTATCTGTGACATGCCTGAAGTGCTTCTCACAAAACTGAGGGATCAGCATTTGGAGGATCTGAGCCGGAATGTGATGCTGATCCGTCAGCAATTTGAACAGTTTCAGCAACAGAGTGAACAAAAGAAGGTAGATGCCTCGTGTTAACTGGATAAATTGCATCCTACACTTAAAAGTAAAACCTAAAAGGTTCTTGGCTTGGTTCTTGAAAAAACTGTAACCTTTGCATTTAAACTTCAAAAAGGTTTAAAAGCACCTTTTGATGGATTTTTCTTTGATATACCACTTTTGTAAATTAGATGTGCAAGTGTGAAGAACCTGTTTGAAGTTTAAATGTAAAGGTTCCTAAATGGTTCTTTGAAAAAACCCAGAACCTTTACATTTTAATTTGCACATCTCATGAAAGGTTGTCTGGGGAACCAAAAAGTTATTTTATACTGTGTGCTTTTATTATAGCTTCCATTCTTTTTTGGAGACTTTCTGGAGAGTTTTTCAAAGAAATCTGCAGGGATATTTTTCCACACTTGTAAAGTTTAGTCTTAGAAGTTGGTTGCATTTTCCGTTTCTCATGATCCAAATAATCCCAATTACAAATTTACACTTATCAGTTGATAAAACTTTACTCCACAACTCAGATGTCTAGTTACAGTTTGAGTGCAAAATTTCTTTTGACAGTAAAGGCTTCTTAACACCTAAACATCCATTCAGACTCATATTGCTGAGTTGTCTTCTCACAGTGGAAGGATGGACAGAAACACCTGTGGATTTTTTTCAGATTTGAAGCAAGAGTGGAGCTTGAATTTCGCCTCTCTCCAAGATTAAAGCTTTCAGTACTGCTTATCTAGTCGTGACAGTTTTGGTAGTCTACCAGGTTGTTAGGAGTCCCTTTTATATCTTTTAATAATATTTGAACTTCACTTTTGGAAACTCCTGTTTTTCAGTAATTTTCTTTTGGCTTTTCCTAATGCAAATGGAATCTTTTATCTAATTTCCTTTGAAATATCTCCTAAAGATGAACCTTTACTTATTGCTTGAAAGTAAATAAATGAAGGGTTGTTCTTGCCATTTGCACAGTACTGTAGGGGGTTCCCAGTGCCAGTTCTGGAAACCCCTAGCTCTGCACATATTTGTGTCATCCCTGGTCCAGCCAGTGAGACACTTGTTAATGAGTTAATGAGTCAAATCAGTTGTGTTCGATGAGACAAAACACCAAAAATGTGCAGTGTTGGGTCATCAGGACTGGGGTTGGGATCCCCTGCTGTAAGTGGTTCCCAGCCTTTGTCGTGGAGTCCCCCTGTTTTGCATGTTTTGCTGTTTTCACTGCTCTTACACACCTGATCAATTTAATCAGCTAATTAACAAACACTATCCAGGGCTTTGGCTACTACAGGACCAGGGTTTGGGACTGATTGCACACACCAAACCAGTGTTGTTAATACATTGTACATTCCTCCTCACCAGAAAGAACACAGCAATCAGCTGCGTGTTCGTCTGAGCCACCCTGCGTGTGAAGAGGAGCTGAGCAGGCTGGTTATGGTTGAGCAGGACAGGCAGGAGGAACAGAGGAAGGCTACTCAGAACAGCAGACTGGAACTCCAGGTCATACCTGCTTTATGCTGTCTCTTCAGATATGAAAGCTATTGTTTATGACAATCATTTGATTTTTATGTTGTTTTCTAAAAGGCCTGTATTAGGAAGAACGCAGACGAGTTTGTGACCGCACTTGCAACTTTGACAGAGAACATTCTCTTCCGATTGGACAACATGCTGACTGCTGACGAGGTCCAAGGACGATGTAGGTAGTCTGTTGTAAGGGCATGAATAAAAGCATGGTTTTGACACAACAAAGGAAAACAAACAACTCACAAAGTTAAACATAAGGCCAGACGGACAACAGAAGGAACTATCAAAGTGTATTTAAATAAAAAATTAATCTTTAGGACATTCAGGCATTCAGTCATTTTCTTTAGTTGTGATTCATAGATTCATTTCATGCATCCCAGTTTAAACTTTATATAACTAGTGACATATCTAAGATTACCATATTTGAGAAAAAATGTGGATTGCATTGTTTTGAAATGGGAATACATATCAAAATCCTGAGTACTGGATCTGTAACCTAATAATTGTTTATGACTGCAGTTGTCGAACCAAAGCAGGAAACTATCACAAAGCTTGCTCGTCGAAAACACGCAGGTACACTACAGGAGGAGGACAAAAACAGACCTTTATTGGAAAGAGGGAGCAGGTACAGACTGAGACAATCTCATACCTCAGTCCCAACAGTTCCCATAAAAGAAGTTCTTGTATAAAAGAGATGAGATCCCACTTATTATTTTAGTTTTCATTTTATAGAACGTGGCCTGGAATTCACTATTTTGGAACCACTGATGACTCACTTGTTAACCAGAAACAGCACACGACCACCACTATAACTACAGCTAAAACCACAATGGGGCATCTCAAAGCTATAGAGGTTCGAAATGTGTTGCATCAGGTAAGTGAAAACACTTTGTACTACTCTCTACAAGCAACCTACAAGCCACATATACACTTAAAGCCAGTGTTATTGAAGCTCCAAATTATCAAAAGAAGTCTTAATGGGCAAGTATACTCCCTGTAAGCCTACAGAAGGATTTTTTGTCATGTTGGCTGTGTCTAACGTGTCTAAATGTATCTGTTTAACCCAGAGCTATGAGGAGAGGGTGATGGAAGAGCTGAAGAGAGTTGAGAAGTCTAGCCGTGAGCAGGAGGCTGAGCTGCTGCGTTGGCAGGAGCACTGGAGAGTCCAGCTGAAGACTTTATCTACGCTCAAGTCAGAGTGACTGCAAGCCGTTAATGGACATGAAATTTCTGGAATGCTCCTGATGCATCAAATACCCTAAAAAAGTGCTCTGTAAAAATATTGATTAGATCTTTTTTTTTCTTTTCAAAGTCATATATTCCTACTGCATAAAATACACTTTTATTTATCAATCAGGCATCATGGATTAGATAGTGCTGGATCTTCTTCTTGTTACTAATGTACTGAGAGCAAAGGGACACAATTTTAGACTGCATTTTTAAAAGTGGGACAAATTAAACCTATACAACAACCATTCTGTGGTAAACATTGAGCTACTCTATTTCTTGTAGTGTATCACTGCCAATCAGGACAAATCTGTCAAATTTCCTTTACCATAATAGTGGTAATAAATTTGAAAAGAAGCACAAAACACTGACTCAAGTAAAAAATAAGTAATTTATTTCTTATTTTCAAGTATCACCGTTTAGTGTTGTGCAAGGATTCATGAAATTGAGTACTGCAGCAGAAGTTGTTCTCAATGGGCTAACAAGTCCCAAAAGACAAACAACAGTACAATTGTACCACTCTGAATGTTACACACGACATTAATTCACAGTAAGAAATTTAATAACTGGCTAATTAAGTTTAAGATAACACAGAATAATTAATACTTTAAAGGAATTAAAGTTTTCCAGATTTAGTAGTTCTTATGGATGAGGCCTTTTCACATTCATGTCAAACCTTTCAAACCTCATTCTGAAAGGTCTCTCCAACCTCAGAAAGCACCTTAATGTTATTATAAAAACAACATGTACACTCAATTTCATATCCTGTGTTTAACCAAGGAGGCTGCTTTCCTGCAAACCTGTGCTACATATTTTCCACTCTGTACCAACTCTGTGTTGTGTTATTCAGAAATTTCAGGAAGTAGAATTCTAGTGATCACCGTTTCCGAAAAAGAATATCCCAGCTCTCTCTCCAGCGGAGTGCAGCCAGCTCCTCTGAGGTCAGCTCAGGCTTGCCATATGTGAGGGGGCTGAAGGTGCGGTAGCAAAAGTACACTGAACACAATGCTGCCAGAATAACTCCACCAAACGCCTTCTGCTGAGAAGGAGATCTGAGGGTAGAAAAAAAAATAATCATTGCTACATAAGAAGTATGCCCATATCTATACTAAAGTCCAATTAGTTAACATGGCCATGCATCATTTACAATTATTATTCTAAAGTCACCTCAATACGTGAGTGTATAGGTGCTCCACAACAACAGGTATCTGCAGGATCTGGAAAGTGAGAGCTGGAAGGTAGTGGTATAAGAACAGGGTCTTTTCCATCAGAAAGAAGGGCAGGTAGTTAACAATCCATCCTCCAGAGCACACGACACCAGCCAGAACCAGCTGTTCCCAACAGGCTACATATGAAGAGAACAAAGTGTAAAATGGCGGGGATATATATATATATATATATATATATATATATGTAAACATTGTAAATTTATATATGATCCATATATAAAGCAATAACCTTCAGGAATGTCCTCTATTTTCCGCCGTCGTCGTAGCAGGTAAGTTAAAAACAGGAGCACGTACACAAACAGTGCAAGGTTTGCCAGGGTCCAGATGACAGAGTTCCCAATCAAGTGGATTTGTGCCTAAAACAGACAATGTAGGAGTCCATATAATACTGATACATTTGTTCCTCATTTCAACAACAATATACAAAAAGGGAAGAATTACAATAACAACAAATGCGTACATTACTTGATGGATGAAGCCAGTATGCTATATTGGTGTCCATGGTGATCCATTCCAGAGGTAAGGAGCTATATTTGTGCTCTGACTCTTCATTTCTGACTGTCAGCATCTTCCACTGTTAATAGGTTTGCACACAAACAACATGCATAAAGGATATTTACATAAAGAAGACAATTTTAGCACCGGATGGTCGAAATTCAGAACAATTTTGTGATTTTTCCTGCTCACATCTGATTGAACGCATCAGGTAATTACCAGGTTTAAAGTTAAATTATGCCGTGTATAGCATATGCATCTGACTACATATGAAAGTGGTTTGAATATGATTAGGCAATAGTCGGATTTCTGTGTTCACAGAGGTCAGAAAAACTGAGTCACAGTTAACACTTTAACTCTCATCTGTGCATGGCCTTAGAGCAGGGAAATCACCGAACTGTTGGACTCTAGGAACTGAATGACCTCTGATTTAAAGCAATTCAACGACTGATGCTCATGAACCAAACTGTATGCCACACCTACCTGCAGCTCTATGAATTTGGCCATAAAAGTGAGATTTCTGCTTATGTCATCATGAGTGGGGGACTTAAGCTCCAGTTCTCTCTCCTTCTGCTCATGACCTAAGCACAATTATGGACAGATACAGAAAATCAAGTATGAGAATGTAGATGTGCAAATACCAAATTCCTCCAAGAAAAGGGGAATTCTCATACTCCTGCCATAACGATGCTCTTCCACGTTCCACACCCCACTCTGCTGGTAGCCTTTATAGATCTTATCTCCCACCACCTCCAGCTGCCGGAAGCCCCAGTCTGGAAGAGAGGCTCCGCTTAGCTGCACAACAGAAAAAGAAACAGTGTAAAGCAGCAAAAGCAAGTCACTTGACCAGTAAAGAGTGACTGGATTCCAAGAAACGAAACGTTTTATCTCATTTTTTGAGCTGTTACAATTGGCGGGTCCTTTTAAGGGCATGAACATGACATACGCACATACACACCTTCAGCACAGCAGAAGTGTTGACATGGATCAGTCGCACTTCTGATAGAATAGTCTTCCACACATCTCTGTCAGACTCCCGGTTTGTTATGTCCTGCAGATAGACAGATCATTACACAGCTGAGCACTTAAAAAAAGTTCAATAAATGAATTTAAATTACTTTCGATTGTTTAATCTGCATCAAAGCACTTGAGTTTTATAGAAGTGCTGTCAGGTTACTCACCACTCTCCACAGATTCTGAGCTGGCATGGACACATTAAAGTCAATATAACCAGATACTTCTTGAGAGTGAGGGCTCATGGGAGCTGCAACGTCATGTCTTAGAAAAAAACACAAAGTAAATTAAAGTACACATACTGGATAATACAGTTTTAGTATTCAACCATCTTACCTAATAACAATTGACATACAGAAATGTCAACCACATAGACTAATATCTGACACTAGTCATGCATGTCATATATGGCTTAGAGGAAACTGGTGACCATGGCATGTAATTACGTGTTGAGGAATCGTGATGTCATTCCGTGTAGCAGCTGAATAATATCACCATGTCTGACAGGTCTTGGAGGGCTGCTCACAACAAGACTCTGCCTGAGGATCAGGGTTTAAAACAGAAAAAAAAAAAAAACCTTACAATTACAAAATTACATAAATCTTTCAGACTTCATTGTAATTTCCCAATAACATAATACACTTTGCACTTACTTTGTGTATGTAATTAAATGATGCAATAAAAATCAGTGATGCAATAATATTTTATTGTAGGTGTAACATGTTATTACAGCAAATTTATTATATTTTCAGGTTGCTCACATTTATCTTTGATCATTACATCACTGGGTTCTACACTGCATTTTATATTTTCACTAGACTAGTCCACTGTACATAAAACAGACATAAAACAGACATAAAACAATTCCACCGTAAACCCTGTCAAACCAGCAACTTTGGCAATGTCGCCTTAAACTCATTAAGATCTGCCACCAGAGAAGCTGCAACGCATGCATGTCCATACCGGACATAGTAAAATGTAACAGCATGTGGAATTGGAGACTGCTGTGTACCACAGTGTTTTCCATCACTAAATAACATACCTCTAAAGTCTCACACACTGACCATAAGACACACACACTGGGGCCAGATTCCACAGTCTCGCACCAAACCATTCAAATCTCAGGCATTACAGAAAAGATGTGGCTTAAAATTTGTTTTAAAAGCAGATCAGTAAATAGACTAGAAATAGATGTATAGTACAGAGCTGACCACTGTATGCTGTGGAACACAAGGGACATCTTGTGATCATATGCTGGTACTACATCAGTGTGTTGTTTAAGCAATAACAGAACACAAGTGTTTTCATATGACCTCAAGTGTTCTATTGGTTTTATCACAGTTCTGCAAAATAAAAAAGTAAACCAAAGAAGCCTTTGACCTTTTGCTTTCTGGATAGAGACACAAAACTGTCACAATATCAAGTTTAACTCAGGTTTTTCATCATTCGCCAGATTAACCTGAATCTGCTGTGTTTATCAAAATTAACTGCAGAGTTTAATCAGACTGTGCTGTTAGAACTAACTGCTGTTTAAGGAAGAGATTAATAATACAGTGCAATGTCTATGCATTTTCACACGTTCTCCCACCAAACTGAGTGATTTTCCCTGCATACTGAGGAGACTGTAAAATCACACGCACTGAATTTGTCTGAACTTGAGAGGTATGATACAAACAAAGCAGCATGCTTGCTGTCTTTATTGTTGAATGCACTGCAAAAGTGTGCGCTCACATTCAGAATGAAATAAGCAGTTATTATTGATTTTTTAAATCAGTCATTTGAACACACCGATGTTTGAAGTATATTTTCCAATTCATGTGTCTGCTTTGTTTGAAAAAGTCATTTTTGACATAGGAATTTTTTTTGTTTACATCAAAACAAATGTGACATCATACTGGGACTTCACATTATTAAAAAAGAGGAGGAGATCAGAAGGCAGCAATAACTGCTTTTTTGTTTACGGGTTAAGTTCTATCTTGATAAATCTATGCATACCTGCTGGGGTCTTTAATAATCCACCAGTTGTTGACATCTTTGAAAGGATAGCAGGTCACTTGCTGCTGATGGGAGCTGCCACGGCCATTTTCATATCTGTACATCAACAGGAAGATATAAGGATATAATCGCATTTAATCCAGGATTACCATCTAGCTACATATTACTGAAATCCCATTACTGAATGAACCCCACAAGCTGCGTCTGACCTGATTGGATAGTTGGCCTTGTGGGAATGAAGCCAGCATGGAAGGGGTTTGCTGGATGCACTGCGGAGAGTCACCTGGGAACCAAATGCCACCTCTAGAGGCTGACCCTGAGTGATCCTGGACAGGCCGCCCTGTATTACAGAATGGACGATTCTTGTTAACCCATTTTCCTCTATGTTTAGTCATAGTCAGTGTAGACTTTGTAAATCAGACCCTGTTCCAAATTCACACCTGCTTTCTGAACTGCAGATCTACTTTTGGTAAAGAAAATACTGGCCGACAGACACAAACTGAGAATCAGATTCAGGACATTTAAATGCACAGCTCAACCAAAGGTGCTAACACGGTTAATTGTGAACGGAAGCTTGTCGCCACTATCGGGCATGATATCATTGGCTTAATGTATAATCGGCTATATGATTTTATTCACTGTTAGAAAAATTAGCATTTAGTATGAAACTACTCCTTTAAATAGACAGTTACTCTGTCTAAATAACACTGTCAATTGAGAGCCTTCATCAAACTGGTCCAAAGTGGATGGTACCTCTAGACTGGCTTGAAAAGCACTGCTCATCATCTGGTCATGTGGCCCACTACGGTACAGTAGTATCAGATGCACATAGAAAAATCCCAAGTACAGAACGGCTGGCATCACCACAAGCACCAGGAACCGAACCACGACCTGCACCAACACTTTACCCTACAGAGGAAGAAGGAAAAAGGAGGCTATTGTAGTCAGGGGCTCTGGTATTGTTTACATGAGATTTTTTACTTAAAAAAAAAAACTCACATTGCTTAACGTTTTATCTCCAATGACATGCCAAGTGTGAACTGCAGCCAGACCAAGTAACAGCAAGTAAGTGAAGAGACCCATGTACTTCACTCTGGGGGGAAATGTTGGATTAATATAAATATCAAAGGCCTAGCAGTTTCACACACTCTATTACACTAAGCTAAATAGTTAGTGGAAATATTATCACAAGATATCTGTAAACAGTTAAAGGGCTTGACCTATGAAGCCCTTGGGGGTTTTGATTGCTATACTTACCCCACTGCAAACGCACAACTGGCCCCAGAGAGGAAGAGCCACAGCCATCTCCATAATGAACTGAAACCACAAAGATGCTTTGATCATCAACTAAATCATAGAAAAATAATCTAGACAGTAACTGTGTTACTGTGGCAATTAAAGTCTGGGGACCAAAAAGAGTGAAGTTACAGCTTCACTCAATTTACAAATTACCCTATACACTTTGCTCAAAAGTAGTTTTGGGACACTCTCTAAATATAATTTATATCTTGTTTATTCATTACTTTTCCAAGATAATTTATCAAGTATTCTTTCGTATCCATCAGAACATAACAACCACGGTTACTAACTGAAACTCATAATTAACTGAAAACTTAAGGCAAGCAAAAGGAACGTCAGCGGGATAAACATCCGTGTCTCTTTCTTCTACGCAAGTCATTATTTAGAATTTAATTGAAGTTAGTATTTTGTTGCATGTCCTTCTTTTGGATGACAGCTTGAAGTCTTTAAAGCATGGAGTGCATGAATGTGCACAACTGATTCTCAGTCAGGCTTTTTAGATAAGACTGTGGTAGGTGTTGAAAATGTCTTGTTTCTTTCCTTAATTTCAGTACATTTTTCACTCTTTATTTTGGAATTTTCAGTGTATCTGTAACTCTTCTGACATACATTTTATTACAAAGAGACAATATTTTTGTCAGATTAATTTAATTCAGTATTCAAGTTTTCTTAGCATTCTAACGTTTTTCTCTCTCTCAGAATGTTAATGAGTCTGGTGTGCTGGATGGTGCGTTGAAGATCTAAGTTTTGAATGTGTTTGCATTTTGATTAGTGTCTTGACATTTGTGTTGAAGGAAAATAGAGGATTGAGTGAAAGTTTTGAAGCTTGCTATTGCTCATTTAGACTCAAACCATTGATTGATTTGTCGTAATATAGCTGTAATTATGTACTTCTGAATATGGTAAAGCACAACGTCCACAATATATAAAAAACTCTACAAACAAATGATAACAGAAGTGTCTTAAAATACTTTTGGGCACTGTAGATCCTCATTCTCACCTCTTTGGGGCTTTGTGGAACCGCAAGTAGGACACAACAGCAAGTAGCAGGAAAAATATAAGCACTGACTCCAGCAGCATAAAGCGGGACTGTACAATTAGTGAGTTCTCTAGAAAAAGAGAGGAAAAACATCAATCAGTTCCACAACCACTCAAAACTCTACTAACCTGGCTGCATAACATTTTTAATCGAGTTTATCTCAACCCTCAAGAGGAAGATGAAGAAATTTGTATTCACCCATAAGGAGAAGCAAGGATGCTCCAAGTGCAGTGAAATGAGAATATCCCAGCTCCACCATGAGAAGATAGCCAAGGGGCACACAAAGTGACCCACACAAGGCAGGTATCAATCTGAGGGTCCACACAGGAACATTACTGGTGTATTCTGTAACAGAGAAGAAAACAGACAAACAAAATGTGTGAAATGTGTTATCCACTACCCAGGTCAAAATAACTAATCTAAAATCTAAATATTATATTTACTGACAAAGTACAGAGCAAAATAATACGAGATCTTATTTACCAGCTCCAATTCTGTTCCAGACAAAGTTGCCATCAAAGTCTCCTAGGTAGCCTGAAGAAAGAACTGCATTAAAATAATGTACAGTGAAAACTACAGACTATGCCAGATAGAATAGTGCTCACCTCCTAATGCTAGAATCATGTGACCCAAAGGTGGTCCACTTTCGTCAATGAAAAACACCCGCTTCATGTACAGAGACACAAACTGCCCATAGTAAACTTCATCAAAACTGTAGAACAAAGACAGCATTAGAGCTGGGTATTAATAGAGATGTGTTGACTTCAATGCCAATTCCTAAATTACATAATATATACATAAATATTTTCATATAAACATTAATTCTCTCTCTCTTATTCTATATATATTTATATATATATATATATATATATATATATATATATATATATATATATATAGTTAAATTTTTATAGTTAAAAAATGCCTGCATTATTCAATCATTGCGACATAAACAAAGTCAATTAAAGCGTTTTGATTTGAGATGGTGTATTGTGAAGAACCGTATTAATTGTGGTGATTTACAGTGGTGGTGGCAGAACCCAAGGCCGATGTCCACAACGCATATACATCCAATATACATCCATTCGATCCATTTATCCAATGAACCTACACGTCTTCTGAGGTTTTATACGTGGTACTGATAATGGTAAAATATTCATAAATATGGGGGATTATTTGGGGCTTATTTTGCTTTAGAACATGCTTTTTTGACATACGTGGGCATATCGGTATTTGATCATCGCTAAACAGCATGTATAGATAAATGTTATGTAATAGAAAAAAAGACCAAAGGAAATTTCATTTGCATTTTGATTCAGATTTTTTTTTTTAAATAAACTGACTGAGATGTCTTCTTTCAGTTGAAAAAGTAAGTACACCCCTGGGTTCGGTGACTGGTACTGCCCCCTTTGACAGAAACAACTTTATGATTTTTATATATATATATATATATATATATATATATATATATATATATAGATATATATATATATATCATATATATATATATATATATATATATATATATATATATATATATATCATCAGCCAATCACCATTCTGGAATTTGGATCAAGCACACTTATTGGCTCGCTGACAATGATAAGACCGTCTACATAGACACTTGAGTCTCCAGTTAAGACTGACCTGTATTATATTAATGCATACTTTAAAACAACGTTGTGCCACAGCATAAGTTACTTACACGACAGATGTTGGAAACTGAATCCCGTACAGTCTGGTCAGAAGCCCCAGTACTGTCACCGCAATCAGCAACACATTGATTTCGCATTTTACAGTAACTGGCAGTTTAACTCCCTGCATTCTCAATTATCAGTTGTCGATAACCTGCCACAGTTGCTGGGTCAGTCCCGTTCGGCTCAGCATTCAGTCAGATAACTTTTGAGGAGCTCAGACTCCAGTTTTCTGTTTTCTCTCAGTCCCCTCTGCTCTGTCTGCTCTGTAGACGACTGGGCACTTGAGGCGCTGCTTAATGAAGGCTGCGCATCAGCTCAGGCTCTTTTTGTTCAGCTACATGCTCTGAAATGAATAACTGTTTTACAGAAAAGCACGTTACGAGCTCTATTAACTGAACATGGTTAATAAAATCCTCTATAGCTTAAAGAAGTGAGCCCTGTCTCAACAGGAGAGCATTTCCCCTCTGCTCTATTTTCAGTTTCAAAATAAAAGTCCACAACTCCGTAATTTATTTAAACATATATTTATTTACAGTCGTTTGCAAAATGTTTGAGCGCTTCTGGTCAAAAGAAAAACTGGTTGAATTCCCCTTTAACCATATATATGTATATGTATGTGTAGATAGAAAAATAGGGAGAGAAATGTTTAATGTTTATATTAAAAAATATGAATGTATATATTATATCCTTCAGGAATTGCCATTTAAGTCCAGGTATCACTACTGATATTGGTAAGAGCAGTTGTGAACTGCATAAATGATACCCAGCCCTAATCCTGGCTTTGTTCCACAGTTTACTACTTTCAGTTCATACATGCATGTATTTTTGTATATGAAGCTGGTATTTTTTATTGTCAACACCTGTACTACTATGTAGAGGTCACAGCTCTGACTTTTGAGGTTTATCATTTTACTTTAGATCAAGAGCGCAAAACAAGAATAATAACACCTAACAAACCTTCTTGTGCTGATAGACGCTGGATAAAGTTCCACTGTAGTTCTGTTACTCAGTAGTGAAGCAGTTTTTTTGACCTGCTACTTTTGTAGTTCTACTCGTTTTTGGAAAAATATGTTTTAATTATACATTAGTGATTATTTGATTGGAGCAAGAGTAACACAGACAGAGACACAGCCAAAGGAAATATCTGTTTGAAAGTTTATTAAAACCAGTAAGAAACCAAGAAATAACAAACCACAAAAAAAGAAAATAAACAGCAGAGACATCACCACTACTACTTAGTGGTACCGGAAAAGAAACATTTATGCTACACTTTATTTACTGGAAAATAGCACATAACCTGCACATGTTTACAAATGTCAAAAGGGTAACATCTGTTTCACTGATATAAGAATTGCTGTGATTTCCAGAAGACAGTGCTATGTTTAACATAAGAAACAAAATTAAAAAATGATCAAATATGTTTCACAGTTGTGACTAATTGCTATTAATAAGAACAGTTAAGTGCATATACTTAAAATATCCTAGTGTATAGTGCTAGTGGATAACCTACACCAGTGTTTCCCCTGCCTTAACACACCCACTTCAACTCAGTGAGGGGTTGTTATTGAGCTGATTTGTTGGATCAGGTGTGTTGGGAGCAGGCAAAGCACTTTTGCCCTGTGCAATGTGCAAAACAGTGGGTCTTCTGGACCAGGGTTGGGAAACACTGACCTGTACTATTACCTGCAGCATACTTTAAAGTCAGAATCAAGAGAAAAAGATTTCTAACAGATAACATGTGATGGGATTTTCACAGTATAGATTTGGCAGCTAACTGCAGTTAATTATACAAACACTGGATCAGAGAATCAGAGGAAATAGCTTAAATTGATATACGCCCCTTGAAAATGACCTACAACCTAAAACTACTGAACATGTTAAAAATAGTTTTAATAATGGTTTTGTACACAATAAAGGGAGTAATATTTTGCTCATAGAATTAAAAGGAATGGTTCACAGAAAACAATTTCCACTTACTCCAGTACTAGTCAACGGGCCACGACGTTTAATGTTTGAGGTTTGCTTCTTTGGTTTTGCAGTGGAGCTACAATGCTAATATATTACAATACTAATATAAAATATTTTGGCTGACATACACTTACATCACATTTTACCTACATTAGCCTCATAGCTCCTGTGCAAAACTAGAAAAAAAATGTCTTGGCCAGTCCACAGTTTGGGGTATGAAAACTGGGACAATTAGAATTTTCGGAGAACGATTGTATTCATGAAAATTTGTATGTAAACTCACTGTATGTACTGAAACTCACAGTAGTGAACTATGTTTACTACAATGAGTTTCAAATAATGCATACTATATTCATATATTCATATAATGTATACACATTGTATTCATTATATGTATTATTCTGCCTGAACGTATTGATAAAAACGTATATACAGGGTCACTGTTGATTTCACATTTGTGATGAAAGATTTAAGAATGGAAATATGCCATTATATAGCAATCCCTTCGAAGTGCTTAATAAAATAGAGCAGGAAATATCAAAAAACATCTTGAAAATATTAAAAAGTCTAATTTAAAATGACAAAATTTGAAAATTACAAAATGAAATAAAAAATTGTACATTTAATTTTGCATATCAAAACTGCAATGATAAAAATGATAGTAGTAGTGTTATTTTGGTCCCTTAAAGAATGCATATGAAGCCCTGTGCAGGCTAGGAACTATACACTTTTTGGTCTCGCAAGGCGTTTAGATCTACGAGGTGTTAAGTCAACTATGGCTTTTCTTTTTTGCTGAGGTTTCTTTTTTCCCTCTTCCTCTTCAGCGACCTCTACCTCTGACCTACCTTCCATTTCACTCTGACTCTCCATAAGAAATCGCTTGCTCCGCCTTGTAGATCTTTGCTCAGGTGAAGCTGCTGCTGATGATCTCCCTTGAAGAACTTGTCTTTTCTTCAAAGCAGGTTCTTCTTCCTTATATGTGATGTGTTCTTTTGTGGAGGCCACATTTAGACGTTCCATTAATGAAGTCTCCATCTCCTCCTCTACCTTGTTTTCCTGTGGGCCATTATTTTCATCCTCCTCCTCCAACTCTAAAGTGAAGCTTTCATCTAGAGTAAGACTGATTTCATTATCATTCTTTTCATTTGGCTCTGCCTCCTCTTGACTCTCTTCGATCTCTTCTGCTGTATCAGCTGTTCTGTCACCTTTACCTGTGATCTTGTTTTCATGCTCTGCTGCCTCTTCCTTACATTCACCTGCCTCTGCTTTGTCTTCTCCTTCCTCCTCAGCTTTCTTGACTTCCTGAGCCTCTGTCTTAGTATCTGTTTCTTCCTCTGACACATTTACAAGCTCTCTTGACTGGGCCTGCTCAGGTCCATCCTTCTCTTTCTCTGTGCTTATATTTGTTTCTCCACATGTTTTTTCACCCTCTGGATTTTCCTGCTCCTGAACTTTTTCTAAGAGAGTTTCTCCATCTTTTTCACTGTCATCTGTTACTTCTTGACCTGTGGTTTCTTCTTCTGCGAGTGACTTCACATCAGCCTGCTCCATCACTGGTTGCTCTACAGACAAAGGATCTTCAGTGATGTACACATGTACTTGTTCAGTTTCATCCTGATCTTGTTTGCACATCCGTTTAGATTTCCTTTCACTTGTGGCTGTAATAGTTATTGTTCTCTTTCTCAGTGACCTTCTTTCAACCGATACTGCCTCTTCCACTTCATCAATAATTTCTTCTGTGGTTGACGACTTCTCTTTATCTTCTGGTTCTTTAATCTGTGTTTTTTCTTTCACTAAACTAGATTCTCCCTCAGACTTTTCCTCAACCAACTGAGCCTCAACTTTGTTCAGAATGTTCTCCTCTTGACTATTTTCTTGCTCAGCTTTTGCATTGCCTTCTTCCTCTTTATCTGTCTTATCTGGTTCTTTTTCCATGTCATTATCTATTAAATCACTGCCTTCTACACGGATTTCCATGCCTACTTTTTCATTATTTGCACCCTCAGTTGTCCTCTCTTCCACTTTATCTTCAGGAACCTCTTCCACCATATCATTCTCCCCACCAGTTATCCTCTCCACTTTTCTTCCATCAGTTTCAGCAATGTTTTCCCCTCCCTGCTCCTCTAAAGTGATGACTTCTTTGCTCATCTCTTCAGAGGCCACCTGTGCATCTTCACTCTCATCTTTTGAATCTGTCTCTGTAATCTTTATCTCATTCTTCTCTTCAACAGCTGTAATGGGCTCCACTGTTTCTCTTTCATTTGAAGCTTCTACCGATGCTGCTTCCTTCTCGGGCTGTGGGTTTTTAACAGGTGTCTCTGACACTTCTTGACAGAGACGTTTCGATTTTCTTCGCATTGGATACTTGGCTGTTACTGTTCTATTTCTGAGATTCCTCGTCATAATAGGCTCCCCTTCTTCCTCTGAGACCTCCTCTTCAGTGGTCTCTTGAGCAGGTTTAGTCACACTTGAATTTTGATTATTTTCCTTTCCAAGGCTATCCACTTCACCTTCCACCATTCCCTCTGCTTGTGTAGTGGCCTCTATTACCAAATTTGTTGGACTACCAGTTGGTATCTCCAACTCCTTTTCTGGAGCAACACTGTCCTGCACAAGTAAAACCATCTCTTCATCTGTATTCTCATCTTTTTCATGGTCCACTTCAGTGCTCTTCACCTGTAATACTTTTTCTGCTTCTATTGTAGTGGCCTCTGCATCAGCACTGACTGCAGTGTCTGATGTCATTTCTCCCTTTTCTTTATCTTCACTTTCTTTCATAACGGCATCTCCCTCATCAGCCAACATTTTTAACTTAATTTCAGGCATTTCATGAGCAACCAATGCCTCTGTCCCCTGCTCCCCTAAAATGCATTCTTGTGTTTCTGTTTCAGAGGTCACTTCTCCATGTTCGCAAGGATCTTCCACAGCTTTTTCAGGCGTACTGACCTCTGTAGGCAAACATATTGCTGGTGTTTTTTCAGCTTCGCTTACATCTGTATCTTTGACTGCCTCAGCTTTTCCAATATCTGCTTGCACCCCAGGTTTTTGGACACGTTTAAATTTTCTTTGTGGTGGAGACATGACTGTTACTGTTCTCCGTCTGAGACTTCTGCTTGTGATAACTGGTGTCTCTTCTTCTGGCGAGCTTTCCTCGACAGTCTCCTCATGGCCAGTTGTTATATTTTCCTGATCGTCTTTCTGATTTTCATTAGTACACACAGATACCGTTGCAGTGGATTCTGCCTCTAACGTAATATCTCCAACTTTCAGTTTTTCTTCTGCCAACACAGTCTCCTCTTGTTCGCTGCCTGTCTTCAGTGAGTTATCTGCACCCTACGTCCACAACTGGCTCCTGTAGGTTCTCTGTCATGGGCTCCTCTACTGCCATCTCTGCAAGAGGTTCATTTTCCTCTAAAACATCAGCCTTGTCTAGGCCTTCCTCATTCTGAGGATGTGCAGCCTCATCCCCTACCGTTTGTTCTTTTTCTGCTGATTCAACCAGAGATTCTGTCAGCTTTACCTCTTCCTCATATTCATTGCTCTCCTCTCTGTCTTCATCAATATCTGTTTGCTTATCCAACTCCTTCTGAGACTGTGATGTTTCCTCAGTAGTCTCAATTGTCATCTGTTTGTATAGGTGGAACTTTATTGAAATCCACAAGCACAACAGTAGCTTTCTGCAAAGTGAAAGCTGAAGTAGGCTTGATTGCATTCTGCCCATCTTCATTCTGTGCCATTTCTGTGACTGGTGCCTCTGCTTGCTCTTCAACAGGCTCTGTGACTGACCGTGCTGGTGTTTTCCCTTCAGCTTCCATTTCAGCATCTTCTGCAATGTCACTAACATGAAGATCTGATATTTTCTGTTCATCTGTGGTTGCCTCCACAGCTTCTTCAACCTCATCTTCTGTTGTACCTTTGTCGCCTTCTGAACATTGTTCAGTCCTGATATCTTTAGCCACCACACTTTCCTCGATTTGTTCAGGTTCTAATTCATCATTTTCCTCAACCCTGCCCTCTACAGTTGTAATCAGATTTTCTGTAGCCCCTTCAGTGGTAACTGTCTCCATTTTCTCTCCCTCTGCAACATTAGTCTGTAACTCCTTAATTTCCTCCCTTTTCTCTTCAGGCTTATCCACTGTTTGTTCACTTTCCTCATTCTGCACCATGGCTTTGGTTTGCCTTGTGTATCTCTGCTTGGGAGTGGCTTTAACTTGTTTTGCAGAGCTTCTGAGGACTCTTGTAGTCAATTCACTTACTGCGGGCTGATCTGCAAATCGTCTAGAACGCCTTACCGGGGTTCCAACTTCTGGTCTTTCATTGTCTTCTTGTTTTCTTTGTCTGCTTTGTGTGCCAAATCTGAAAATTCCTCTTCAGTTTCAGTGTCTGGTTTCTCTTCATCAGCTTGACTTGGCTCCTGGATTTGAGTTTTACTTGGGATTTCCTGAAGAGTACTAGTCTCTTTCACAGGTTCCACCTCTGGTATCAACTCTGGGACTCTGTCTTCATCTTCTTTTACACCATCTCCCTCAGTCTCCATGTTTTCATCATTATTATCTCTTATTTCAGAAGTGCCCTCAGCACTTTTATTCTTAAATGTTTCTACATTTTCACTTTCTGCAATTTTCACTACGTCTTCATCTGCTTGTTCTTTTTCAGCTGATTCAGTCTGAGTTTCTGTCTGTTTCATACCTTCATCCTCTGCTTTACTCTGCTCTATGTATGCGATATCTGCAGACGCAACAAGTTCTTGGCATAACTCTTCCTGAGGCTGTGATGCTTCTTTAGCAGTTACACTGTCTATTGTTTGTTTAGGGGGAACTTTGTTGAAATCCACAAGCACAACAGAAGCTTTCTGCAGTTTCAAACCTGCTGTGGCTTCCTCTGCTTTCTGCTCAACCTGTCCAGGTATCATTTCTACGGCTGGTCCCTCCACCTCCATCCGACCTTGGTCTGTATCAGTTGAATCTGGAACTCTGTCTTCATCCTTTGATATGGTACTGTCTTCAGCCTCAATCACATCATCTTTGTTTTCTTCTGTTTCAGCATCTTTTACAACTTTAGCAGGGTAACTGTCAGCAACTTCTGTTTTATCAGCAAGATCTGATTCACTGAGTTCTTTTATTGTTGATTCTTCATTACCTGGGATTTCCTGAGGAGTGCTGGTCTCTTTCACATGTTCTACTTCTTCTACCACCTCCATCTGGCCTTGGTCTATGACAGATGACTCTGGAACTCTATCTTCATCATTTGGTACAGCACTGACCTCAGCCTCCATCTTTTCATCTTTGTTTTCTTCTTTTTCTTCAATGCTGTTCTTATCAATTTTCTCCATAACCTCAGTCATCTGTACATTTTCATCCTCTGCCACTTCCACCTCTGTATTTTGAAGACGTTTAGATTTTCTTTGTGGTGTTGATATGACTGTTACTGTTCTCCGCCTGAGACTTCTGCTGGTGATAATTGGTGTCTTTTCTTCAGCTGAGCTTTCCTGGACAGCCTCCTCGTGGCCAGTTGTTACACTCTTCTGATGCTCTTTATGTTTTTCACTTTCACTTGTACACATTTCTGCTTTACTTTCAGCCACTGCTACACCTGATTCCTCTTCTAATGTAATCTCTCCTGCTCTGTCATCCTTCAGTTTTTCTTCAGTCAATATACTCTCTTCTTTTCAGTGGCAGTCTTCAGCATCTTATCTGCACCTACTTCCACAACACACTCCTTTAGGCTTTCTGTCATGGGTTCCTCTACCCCCATCTCCTCCTCTGTTGTTTCAGTAGAAGTCTCATTCTCACCTGTTTGCTCTTTTTCAGCTAGTTCAACCAAACTTTCTGTCTGCTTCATCATTTCTTCCTCTTCTTTGCTCTCCTCTCGGTTTTCTTCAATACTTAGTTTACTCGTTCTAATACTAAGTTTATCTCGTTCTTCATCTCCCTCCTCTGAAGACTGTGATGTTTCTGCAGTAGTCTCACTGTCACCTGTTTGCTTGGGGGGAACTTTGTTAAAATCCACAAGCACAACAGCAGCTTCCTGTAGTGTGAAAACTGGCGTGGATTCTACTACATTTTGTCCGTCCTCTGTCTGCGCAATTTCTGTGGCTCGTTCCTCCTCCAGCTCTTCAACAGGCTCTTTACCTGATTGTTGTGTTGATTTCTCTTCTATTTCAGCATCTTTTACAACTTCAGCATCATCAGGATCCACAACTACTATTTTTTTAGCACCTTCAGTTGTTTCATTCTGTGAATCATCTTCCATTTCCTTGAGGTCATGGTCATGAGTTGCTTCTGATTCTAAATATTCCTTTTCCACTCCACTGTCCTCCTGGGCTCTGTCCTGTAGAGCGGTCAGTTTTTCATTATCCCTTTCATTGGCAGCGTTTACTGTCTCAATTTTTTCCTCTTCTGCAACTCTAGTGTTCTCCATGATTTCTTCTATCTGCTCAACTTCAGGCTCACCTACTGCATGTGCTCTTTCCTCCTGCTGCTTCACAGTTTTTATGTGTCCCACATGCTTTTGTTTGGAAATGGCTGTGACTGCTTTTTCTACCACTTCTGAGAACTCTTTTTGTCAGTTCACTTTCTACAGGCTGATCTTTAAATCTTTGAGAACGTCTTAATGGAGTTGAATAGATTGATCTTTTCCCGTCATCATGTTTACCTGTTGAGCCTAAGTTGTCTGTGTTAATTGACTCATGCTGTTCAATCAGTTCTGTCCAGTTATCTGACTTCTTCTCCTCATCACCATGACTTGGCTCATGACGTCTTCAATATTTGTCTCCTCACTGCCTGGGACGTCTTGAAGAGTTTTGTTCTCTTTCAGAAGTTCCCCCTTTTGCACCACCTCCATCTGGCCTTGGTCTGTTTCAGTCGACTTTGGAACTCTGTCTTGATCCTTTGATACAGCACCATCCTCAGCCTCCATCTTTTCATCTTTGTTTTCTTCTGCTTCCTCAATGCTGCCTTTATCAGTGTTGTCTGTAACCTCAACCAACACTACATTTTCATTTTCTGCCATTTCCACCTCTGTTTTTTGGAGATGCTTAGATTTTCTTTGTGGTGGAGACTTGACTGTTACTGTTCTCCGTCTGAGGCTTCTGCTAATGATAATTGGTGTCTCTTCTTCAGATGAGCTTTCCTCAACAGTCTCCTCATGGCCAGATGTTTTACTCTCCTGATCCTCTTTCTGATGCTTTTCACTTTCACTTGTACGCAGTTCTGCTGCACTATGAGCCACTGCTGCAGAGGATTCTTCTTCTAATGTAATCTCTCCTACTCTGTCATCTTTCAGTGTTTCTTCTGCCAACATTCTCTCCTCTTGTTCACTGCCTGATTTTGGCATCTTATCTGCACCCATTACAACCTGCTCCTCTGTCATGGGTTCCTCTACCAATTTCTCTGCCAATGCATCTGCCTTGTTTAGCCAGTCTGCCTCCTGAGACTGTGATGTTTCAGTAGAAGTCTGATTCCCACCTGTTTCTTCTTTTTCAGCTGGTTCATCAAGAGATTGTGTCTGCTTCACCACTTCTTCCTCTTCTTTGTTCTCCTCGGTGTCTTCTTGAGTACTTGCTGGTTTGTCCAGTTCTTGATCTGCTTCTTTAGGGGACTGAGATGTTTCCTCAGTAGTCTCAGTGTCGTCTGTTTGTTTAGGGGGAACTTCCACTAACACAACAGCAGCTTTTTGCTGTGTGAAATCCGACATGGATTCCACTACCTTCTCCCCATCCTCCTTCTGTGCCATTTCTGTGCCTGGTTCTTCCACTTGCTCTTCACCTGGCTCTGGTCCTGTTTTCCCTTCAACTTCAATTTCAGCATCTTTCACAACTTCAGCTTCATCAAGATCCACAACTACTATTTTCTGACCATCTTCGATTGTTTCATTCTGTAAACCATCTTCCATTTTGTTCTTGACTTCCTTGAGGTCATGGTCATGAGTTGTTTCTGCTTCTAAATTTCCCTCTTCCACTTTGCTTTCCTCCTGAAGACTGTCAGTTGAATTTTCACTATTCTCTCCATCCACTTTTTCTCCCTGTGCAGCTTCAGTGTGTGCTTCCTTCTGCTCAACTTCATGCTCACCTACTGCTTGTGCACTTTCCTCTTGATTCTTCACAGTTTTGGGGTGTCGTACGGACTTTTCTTTGGAAATGGCTGTGACTGTTTTTCTACCACTTCTGAGAACTCTTTTTGTCAATTCACCTTCTACAGGCTGATCTTTAAATCTTCCAGAACGTCTTAATGGCGTTGCATAGTTTGGCCTTCGGCTGTCAGCATGTTTTCCTGTCGAGCCTAAGTTGTCTGCCTTATCTGAATCTTTCTCTGCGATTGGGTCAGTCCAGTTATCCAATTTGTCCTCCTCATCACTACAGCTTTGCTTGCTGACTTCTTTAATTTCTGTTTCCTCATTGCCTGGAATTTCTTGAAGAATTTTGGTCTCTTTCAGAGGTTCCTCCTCTTGCACCACCTCCATCTGGCCTTGATCTGTATCAGTTGACTTTGGACCTCTGTCTTCATCCTTTAATCCAGCACCACCCTCAGCCTCCATCTTTTCATCTTTGTTTTCTTCTGCTTCCTCAATGCTGCCCTTATCAGTGTTGTCTGTAACCTCAACCAACACTACATTTTCATTTTCTCCCATGTCCACCTCTGTTTTTCGGAGATGTTTAGATTTTCTTTGTGGCGTTGACATGACTGTTATTGTTCTCCGTCTGAGGCTTCTGCTGGTGATAATTGGTGTCTCTTCTTCAGGTGAGCTTTCCTGGACAGCCTCCTCGTGGCCAGCTGTTATACTCTTCTGATCCTCTTTCTGATGTTTTTCACTTTCACTTGTACACATTTCTGCTGTATTTTCAGCCACTGCTACACCTGATTCTTCTTCTAATATGATCTCTCCTGCTCTGTCATCCTTCAGTTTTTCTTCTGCCAACACACTTTCTTCTTGTTCACTGTCTGTTTTCAGCATCTTACCTGCATCCCCTTCTCCAACTTGCTCCTTAAGGCTTTTTGTCATGGATTCCTCTACCTCCATCTCTGTAAATGCATCTTCTTTCTCTGCAACATCAGCCTTGTTCAGCCCATCCTGGGACTGTGTTGATCCAACAGAAGTCTCACTCTCACCTGCTTGATCTTTTTCAGCTGGCTCAACTAGAGATTCTGTCTGCTGCACCTCTTCTTTTCTCTCCTCTCGATTTTCATCAGTACCTGCTATTTTATCTACTTCTTGATTTCTCTCCTCTGGAGACAGTAATCTTTCATCAGCAGTCTCACTGTCACCTATTTGTTTGGAGGGAGGCACAACAGCAGCTTTTTGCTGTGTGAAATCTGATGTGGATTCCTCTTTCTGTGCCGTTTCTGTGGCTGGCTCTTCCTCCTGCTGCTTGACAGCTTTTGTGTGTCCCACATGCCTTTGCTTGGAAATGGCTGTGACTGATTTTGTACCACTTCTGAGAACTCTTGTTGTCAATTCACCTTCTACAGGCTGATCTTTAAATCTTCCAGAACTCTTTAATGGTGTTTCGTGGTTTGATCTTTGGCTGGCAGCATGTTTCCCTGTTGAGCCTGAATTGTCTGCCTTATCTGAATCTTCCTGTTCAATCGGTTCTGTCCAGTTATCTGATTTCTTCTCCTCATCACAATGACTTGGCTTACTGATGTCTTCAATTTCCAATTCCTCATTGCCTGGAATTTCTCGAAGAGGTTTGCTCTCTTTCAGAGGTCCCTCTTCTTGCACTACCTCAATCAAGCCTTGGTCTGAATCAGTCAACTCTGGAGCTGTGTCTTCATCCTTTGATACAGCTTTGATCTCGTTCTCCATCTTTTCTTTACTGTTTTCTTCTGTTCCAGTTTTGTCTATAACCTCAGTCATCACTGTGTTTTCAATATCTGCCATTTCCACTAACTTCTCACTATCTGTTTGCTCTTTTTCAGCTTGTTCAACCAGAGATTGTGTCTGCAACACCTCTTTTTTCTGTGCCATTTCTCTTGCTTCCTCTTGCGCTCCAACAGACTGTAGTGTTGCTTTCCCTTCAACTTCCATTTCAGTATCTTTCACAACTTCAGTATCATCAAATTCAATCACTGCCATTTTTGTACCATCTCTGCTTGTCTCTGCATCTTCAAGAGATGCATCTTTGGTTGTCACTTGGTCTTCTTCATTCATCTTATTTTTAAACTGTGAACTGTCTTCCACTTCCTTGAGGTCTTCACTTGTTTCTGGTTCGAAATATTCCTTATCCAGTGAGCTCATCTTCTCAACATTATCTATTACACATTCATTATCTTCTACACTGGTAAATCTTATTGTCTCCATTTTTTCTCCCTCTGCAACTCCAGTGTTTGACTCCATAATGTCTTCCTTCTGCTCAACTTCATGCTCACCTTCTGCTTGGGCACATTCCTCTTGTTGCTTCACAGTTTTGGTATGTTGCACATACTTTTGTTTCGAAATGGTTGTGACTGATTTTGTACCACTTCTGAGAACTCTTGTCAGTTCACCTTCTGGCGGCTGATCTTTAAATCTTTGAGAGCGTCTTAACAGGGTTGCATTGTTTGATCGTTGACTGTCATCATGTTTCCCTGTTGGGCATGAGCTTGCCTTTTCTGGATTTTCCTCTTCAATCAGTTCAGTCCTATTTTCTGATTTCACCTCATTATCATGACTCAGCTTTGGAACTTCAGGCTCCTTCTTCTTTTCAGATATGCCTTCTTGAACCATGCTGGTGTCTTCCATACTTTCCTCCTCTTGCACCTCTTCCATGTGCTCCTTTTCGGTCACAGGAAGCTTTGGAACTCCAGCTTCGTTTACAGTACTTTCCTCAATCTCCATGTTTTCATTCTTTTCTTCTCTTTCTTCAGCACCACCAACCACATTTTCACTGAACGCTATTTTCTCTACCTCTACTCCCCCTGCTTTTTCTTTTTCAACTGATTCAACCTCTGGAACTTCGTCTGTAGTTCCAGCCACAATCGGCAGTTTCTCTGGCTCTGACAATTCTTCAGAGGTTTCACTGTCCTGTACCTCTGCTAGTTCTACTACATAATTCACTGAAGTTTCCTCCCTGTTTTCTATTTCTGAATCATTTTGTATTTCTTTCCCTTCTTGACATATTTCCTCAGCTGTTACTTTATCACCATCTATCTTAAAATCTTCTTCTAAATCACCTTCTAAAACTGCATCCTGTGGACTCCCCTTATCTTTTTCTGTTAATACTTCTTCATTCATATCATCTGTCTCCTCTGTGATTTTACTCTGAATTGAACATGCCTCATTAGCATCTCTGACTATGTCCACAACTTCTTCCTTCTTCTCTGCCTCTTTTCTCATTCCTTGGTCCTCTTCATTTTCAGGTTGGACAACTGCTTGTGCACTTTCCTCCTGCTGCACTGCTTTGCTCCTTCGTGTGGATCTTTGTTTGGGTGCAGCTTTAGCCTCTGATGGACACGGTTTGCTGGCCACCTGAGGTTCATCGTGGAGGCGAGTGGATTTCCACTGAGGGGTTGCAGTGCTTACTCTACTGCTTTTTCTCAGGACTATCATTTCTGTGGTTGTACTCTCTTCCATAATGACTGGTTTAAGATCAAGCTCTGTCTGTTGGCTAGGTTTCTGCATGCATGTTATTTCTTCACATGTTGCTCTTGCTTCCTCTACTACACTAGTTGCAGCTACCACAGTCTTTTCAGATATCTCCTCCTCAACCTCACCTTTACCATCTTCAGTCCCTGTAATCTCTTCAGTTTTTTCTTTTACCTCTTCGATTCCTGATGTCATCTTAACAATCTCCACCTCTACCACTTGCTGAAGTTCTACAGGTTGAACATCAACCGGACCAACAGTGGCTTCAAACGATTTCACAACTTGTGTTTCCTCACTGCTCTTCATACTCTGGATTTCTGCGACAGGAGTCATTTGGAACAACTCTGTTTTCTCCAGAGCTTCCTCTGGAGCTACTGTCGCTGGCTCTGTGATAGATTTGGTTAGAGCACAAACTTCCAGCACACTCTCTTTAGATTCAGTGGTCAGTTCTTTGTGTTCTTCACACTGAACATGAGTAACATCCATTACATTTTCCTCACCATGAGTCACAGTGACAGCTGTTTCCTGCAAAAATAAGATGGTACATTACAAAGTCTCTTAAAAATATGCTACAACAAAAATGGACCAATGATGCTGGATTAATTCCACCAATTGGATCAGTCCAATAATCACATCAGTGAAGATGCAGCAACAGGATATGGATATTTTCTGAAAAGTAGCACTTAGTCATACCTTAAGATTAGCCTCTGTTGCATTCAGAGAACTTCTGACAACTTCTGCCATCCTCTCCACTGGAGACTGAGCTGCAGCCTCAATGTCCTCCACCCTGTATCAGGCATATTTTCAAATTAGGGCTACAAACAGTATGTACAATGAAAATAAGCTTTCTGTGTTTAGTTATTATCTACAATATAAATCTGACCTAACCTAGTGATTTTGTTCGTTGTCACTCCAGAGTCTTCTCCAAGCTTTTTGCGTTTCAGGTTGCTGCTTCGGCCACGTGTTGTAACAGGTGTGTCCTGCACCTCTAAAATATTAAGAGAATGATAGTAAGATCTTGGCAAGATACTACTTTCTGAAATTTTCACATTTAAAAAAGAAGGGTGGATGTAACGTATAGTGTGCCATGGTGTACCACAGCACACATGACCACGGTCATGTACCATGGCACACGACATGGCCAACCTTTTTACTTGCCTTTTCTTATTTTGATCTGGACAACCTCCTCCTAAAATTGGAAAATGGATTAACATCAACGTTAGATGATCTTTTTTGTAAAATGTAATAGTATTGTGAGAATTGCCATATTGATCAACTTATGATGTTTATGTGAGTTTATGTATCAAAAGTGGTCATAATTCATTTTTGCAATATCATGTTCCAGCTTCTCTTTGTTTATTACAATAAAACAAGAGTATTTTGTTTCTGTGCCTTTATGTAAATGCCCTCTTTTCTCATTGGCTGCCCTGTATTTTGTCTCATTCAAAAGCAGTTCAGTTTGGATATGTATATAACTTTACTAGTGATTACATACTATATCATATATACTATATGTATATATCCATCTTTTATTTAAAAAAGATTAGGAAAATTTAGCTTTCAGTTATATGGGCCCTTCAATATTAATAAGTGCTATAGAGTTACATACCACAACCTCTACAGTGTACTCCATGGTTTTCTGCATCTGTGTCTTCACTTCTTCCATTGGGATATCAGTGCTTTCTGTCTCAAAATTCAACCTGCCCACAACTTGATGATCCCCTATTAAGAAATTAAGGCTGAAATTAAACAAAACCAACTTATGTCCATGTTCATTTGAATTTAATCACTTAATCTAGCTCAGTCAATTGAGTTAATCTTAATTTGACTCCATCTTACCCTTCAGCGCCATTGTCTGTAGCTTCTTAGCTATTAGAGTTCTCTGGAAAGGACCTCCTATACCCTCTACTTCCCACAGCAGCTCTTTGTTTGCTGGGTAAGTGCTGAGATAGTTTTTACAAACTGTAAAACAAATTTAGAATTATATGTAAGAGGATAAATAAAGCCAATCAGAAACTACATTTTGTGACGTGACAGGTTTATGGAGGTACCTTTAAACATTGCTGGTGAAAGTGGGTATTTCAAACCCAGACAATCCTTTTTAAAACTCCTGACAAAGTCTTCAAGCATTTGTAGGCCATATCCATTGCCACGGTGACGTTTCCTGATGAATATGGTATCCATAATAGGAAGCTGATAGCACTGTGTCACGAAGCTGTTGCATAAGCTGCCTGTTGATGAGAGTGAATGGCGGAAGTATGGCAAAATAAAACAAACTTCGAAACATATTAAAGATTTGGTACTTTAAAAGACCAGTGGTACCCTCAGGTTTGACTGAGTAAAAGCCAATGGCTTCGCCATTTTTCCAGAAGATTTTGGCAACTTCATGTTCTTCATGGCACAGGAAGTGGATGTCATCACTGGCTTTCTCCTTCGTTCTGTATATAATCCTATTGAGAACATACAGGACGATCCTCTCTCCAGGTGTTCTGACCTGGGGTTAAAAAAAAATAGTTTTTAACATCACTACTATTTATTTTTATTGATATTAATAATATAATAATCTTATACTAATGCATGTTTTGGGTTGTAGATGTCAGTCATGTACAATAACTTCTGAGGCAGGTGCAATAACTTTTTTCAAGGCACCTCGAGCAGTCCTGTTCTTGAGGGGTCTGCTGTTTTAAGAATATCCTCAGCTGACCACCACTGACCCTGCAGATAGAGTCCAACAGCTGACAAGACCAGACAGAGTAGAAAACATTACACTGTTGTTGTTATCAATAATTCAGTAGTATAATTGTTAAAATTACTTCTTCTTTCTTGCATTCTTGTTACCTTTGAAACAGTCTTCTGGTGAGAACAGTGCAAGGATCTTATGTTTAACGTCAACTCCATATAAGGGCACAAAGCTCACATTACAGAGGCTAACTTCAACCTATAGCATGGAGTGAAAAATGACAAGTTTTATCAATTTAGTATATAATCGATAGATTTTAAAAAATACTCAATACGTTACTAAATATTCTTATGTCAGTCACCACTTTATTTGAAATTGTAAAGCACAGTTTGTTTCCAAGGCTTGTTATATCCACTCAGTCACTCTTGATCAAAAGATACACTATATAGACAAAAGTACCAGGACACCCCTCCTAATTATTGAGTTTAGGTGTTTCAGCTACACCCATTACTAACAGATGGATAAAATTAACCACATAGCCTTACAGTCTCGATAGACAAACACTGGCAGTAGAATGAGTCATACTGAAGAGCTCAGTGACTTTAAACATGGCACTGTCATACGATACCACCTCTGCCACAAGTTAGTTTGTGAAATTTCTGTCCTGCTAGATCTGCCCCAGTCAACTGTAAGTGCTATTATTGTGAAATGGAAGCACCTAGGAGCAACGACAACTTAGCCACGAAGTGGTAGACCGCACAAACTCAGAGTGGGGCACAGAGTGCTTATCCTCTGTTGAATCATTCACTAAAGAGTTCCAAATTGCCTCTGGAAGCAGCACCAGCAAAAGAACTGTGCATCAGAAGCTTCACGAAATGGGTTTCCATGGCCGAGCAATTACACACAAGCCTAAGATCAAAATGGGGGAGGAGTGGTGTACTGGAGCAGTGGAAACGTGTTCTGTGGAGTGACGAATCATGCTTCTCTATCTGGCAGTCTGATGGACGGGTCTGGGTTTGGCACATTCCAGGAGAACATTACCTGCCTGACTGCATAATCCCTCCTATGGGCTGTGGGGTTGTTTTGCCAAGGCCACTTAGTTCCAGTGAAGGGAAATTTCAATGTTTCAGCATGCCAAGACATTTGTGGGAACAAGCTTTGTGGGAACAGTTTGGGGAAGGCCCTTTTCCGTTCCAGCATGACTGAGCCCCAGTGCACAAAGCAAGGTCCATAAATGCACAGTTGGGGGAGTTTGGTGTGGAAGAACTTGACTGGCTCGCACAGAGCCCTGACCTCAATCCCACTAAACACCTTTAGAATGAACTAATGTGCAGATCAGTTTCAGGCTTTGGCAACTACTACTGCTTTTAGGGCAAAACTAAAGAAACCAACACTGGACACAAATATTTCTTGGCTGAAACATAGGGGTCTGTTGCAGACCCTAAATAATTACATGCTTCTTACCTCACTGGAGTCAGGTAAGCTGAGGGACTCATGTATTTCTGGATTTCTGTAGAGCAGTTTAAACATGTAGTCTTTCGCTGACTGCTCCAGGACTTCAGGCTCCACAGTGGCCAATAAATCCACTGGGAATTCCATCCTGAGGGAGAAAAACAATTTTACTTGCATTACAAATTTATTACAAGACATAAATACTATAAATCAATCATTTCAGAATCCCATTTCATAACCTATACTTAGGTGCCTTGTAAAATGAAATTGCAAATAAACTTTTATGACGAGTCATCCATCAGAAATTTGTTTTCAAAGAACAGCAACCAATAGAATGCGTTTACACTATTAGACAGATAAATCAGCATGTTAAAACACCAAATACAGAGGCCAATAATTAATCTGGTTCCCACCAAATCACATGAACTCTGAACACTTTAACTCAGGGGAGACAAAGCAGCTGGCAGGGAGACACTGGTGGTTTTGGTTAGAGATGGTCTGATATTTTTAAAGCTTTAAAATGTATAAAGCAAAGAAATCATTTAAAATTGCAGCAATGCCATGTCACCCAACTCTTTCACATACCAAGAAGAGGCGAGTGCCCTTATAACACATTTGTTAGAGGTTAATGTGCTTTGGACATATGGCCCTTTTATCCAAAAATGTAAGGGCTTTTTTGGCTCAACCTGACAGGCATCAGACACTTAAAGGCAAACGATTCAACAGCTGTTGTCCTTAAGCTACTGTACAGTTAGCTTGAACAGTAGTTTAGAAGAGTGAGCACTGAAGTTTTCTGATTTATTTGTTTAATAATTCAACAGGTTCAGAAAACTGCAGCATCGTTCAACAGAATATGACAAAAACTGAAAAATGATGCCCATTATCTTATATTATAACTGGCAGTAAGTTGGGGCATTTGCAGTTACATGTTCTTAGACCAAAGAATCGGGCACATATTCTCTGGAAGAAGTTAGAGCAAAACACCGAAAATATTTATTTGTCAAGCTTTAAGTGCTTTTACAGTTTGGCTCGATGCCGACATAACCACATTTTCAGTATGATCATAAAAGCCTCACAATGCCTCAAGCAGGCACAAACCGGTTTTTCCCTGTTCAAGGTAAAGTTCACCCAAATACTGCAGTAAACATGGTCCTCTCTGGAATGAGGCCTCACCTACAAGGTCCTTCAGTACATTGGTTGGTTAGTGTCGAAGACTGTGCCCAAATCCAAAACAGACATAACTGGTGTGGCCCTGGGCATTTTTGGGGGCACATTAATTATCTTAGTCAATTATCTGAACTGTACAGTCCCCCCATATACCAGTTATCTGTATTACCTCTGCTGCACTCTACATTTATTTGCATTTTAAAGTAAAAGTTAAAGTCATCAGTAGCCAGCTAAAAAGTGAAAAAATCATCCTCAAAAGCATTCAAAATTTTTTGCAGTGTTGATTTTTTTCAACATTTGCTGTTTCCTTCAAGTCTTTTTGTTTAATAAGCCAAATACTCCTAAAACTATGTGCATGGAAGCCAGGTGCGATTCTACACCCTATATGTGAAAGACTGATTGATTGATATGCGAAAGAATTAAATTTCACAAAAATTTCAGATAAAATTTCACAAATTCATTCTTTCCCAAATAAATAAAAATTTTGTCACTTTTGGTACAGCAAACAACCAGCAAATGCTTTGAGTTCTCCCCTTCATTTTGTGATTTCTTGGTTTGAACCATATTGACTATTCTGGTGCAGTGAAACCCTGCCAGTGAGAGCCAAATGGCAGTTGTCCCCCGTAATGAAAAAATAAGGCCCAAGCAGGGCTTGACAGTGGATCATCTATACAGATATGCTCGTATTATTGTCAAATAATCTTACTGATATTTAATTTGAGTAGGACTGATAGATAACAAGCATTAAATTATGCATTGCTCCATTCCTTAACCATTTTATTAAAATTACATAATGGCATTATACAACATCAATTTGGAGGAGAGACCACACCCACACTCCACCCCTCCACTCATACCTAAGCACATTTGCCATTACCTGTTTTCAAGCTGTTTACGTGCACCGTCCACCTTCCTGTCTAAATTTTTTGTCTTGTTTAATTTTAGGCCTCAAGGGAGTTTTCATCAAACTACAGCTATAAGTCACACAAGATGGCAAACCTGAAAACTCTACATCTATCTCTGCATCTCCTCCTCATCCCCCTAAGCTTATCAAATCTGTTTTACTTCGGATGCGGTCTGTAACCATGAGCTCACACATATGCCTGCACCGTTCTTTAGTTAACATCAAAATTTTATATCACTTTATAAAATGGCTGCTAATGGCTCACATTCAGTCAAAGAGTCGCTCAGCCTTTTCTCCTTTATGAAGAATGTTACTCATTCTCTCATTTTCAGCTTCAGGCTGTTTTTTGAGGAAACGTTTGGGGCTTGAGGGGTTTTTCTTATGCAAACTGCCCAGTATGAAAACGAGTAATGCACCAATCTAGTTCATTTCTGCACATACAGTGTGAGACAGACATTCGGCCCTTTTCTCCTCAGACCTAAAAAATGCTGCATGTTAGCACCCCTTTCACCATTTCTAATCAGCACCCATATTTATCAGTGAGTTCCTGCATACCAGCTGCAGATACAAAGCACTTCAAATAGCCTTGTGCACCTGGAGCGTTCAACCTTAGACCTGTCTGCTGGATCCTTCAAGTAACTGATGAGTATTGTTTCTCTTTGCTGAAGATAATTACAGGGTTTTGTGATCAAAATGTACTTGCAAAGTTGGATCCAGTGTGACGACAAGCAGTACACAAATTCTTGACCTTGCAGTTAGGTAATGCATTCATGAGCAGTCGTGTAGGACCGTGTTTATTAGAAAACAACACTTCTATTAGGCTGGCTTTACACAGTGATACTTTCATTTAACTAGTTGTGTGCTGCCCATATCATCATTTCAGTGCAACCTGACCGTTACTCGAAGCTATACAAAAACAAAGTTGGATGTAACACATTCAGTTACTCTATCAGACAGCCAAGCCATACAGTTCTTGCTAGTCATTTGTGAGAGGTAATTTACATATTTGCAGCGTTTCCTTCTCCCCTTCCATTGGCGGAAACTTTGTTGTCTCAAGAAACTGTCTAAAAAACAATCTTTTTTTGCCTTTTCAACCAATAAACCATCTTCTGTTATTATTTTCTTGTCCATTAATCTGGTGAAAGCAATAGTTTGAAAGTATTTTGTTTGATGTGGTCACATGATGAGTTATCAGTGTTTTGATCAGCTCTATAATGAAACTTGTTCCATGAAATCCAGACACATGCAACTGTTGTGGCCAAGTTTCAAATGAGGTGCAGAATGCTTTACACTGTGCAACTCTAGAGCAATTTAGTTTCATGTAGGTTTCAAGCAACTAAAGTTGCATGAAAGTTTGAGTGTGTAAAGCCAGCATTAGTATCAGAGAGCATGTTAATGATTAAATTTTCAAAAAGATTTTACAATATTTTTATTTTGCCAGCAACCAACACAACACAGCATGTGTGGTGACATGATGCACAATGATATCGGAATTAGACAGCTATCAGCAGATCACTGCTTAAAAAATAATTTCACTGGACAGAGTTTAGAATTGATCAATATTTTAAACCAGTATTTTATGCCATATTTAATGTACTCTGGAAGATCAGAAAGTTTTAACACTTTGGTATTTTACTGCATTTGTAACCCTACAGAATGATTCTAATCCAGGCAGATGTAGTCTCAATTTCTACATTTATAAATGTTTATGTATTGGCAAAAATATCAGATATAGTCATCGGCCCACAGATCTCCTATTGGAGAGATCTCTTTTTACCTCTTGAAATATAATTTCCATGTTGATTTCACAAAGCTAGTGTTGCTCCCAATTGGCCTGCAGTGAACATGGAAACTAACGCAGAATAACTTGGAATACAGTTCTTCACTTGTAAAAGTCTGCAGCCTTCAGCAGCCATTTCACAGCTAAGTGTAAACGTCTTTAAGAAAAACAACGGGACCCCTTTCTGCTTATGTTAACTGGCATACCTCTCCTTCTGTTGGTCAGACAAAGATCTAAGTGTGATGTCTGATAGCCACACACCCCTCCTCAACGACAGCTTATATATTTATGGGTTTCACACTAAAGACACTGAACTCACTGTTTGACAGCAGATGTATGGTGTATAAGGCCATTCTACAGGAGGCTGTGGAGGAAGGGTATAGTAAACGTATACATGCTTCAGTTGAAGAACTGGGGAATGTATAGCTGTGGGAGTGGTCTAACATAACAGACACACACCCACAAACAAACACAAAGAAGGCTTCACCCTCTGACCTTTCCCATTGTCTTGTTCAGTAAGTTTAGAGTCACTTCTAGTGGCTCTTCTACGTCAACTGCTTGTTCGTATGTCATATAAAGGTTCCTAAATGGTTCTTTGCTTGGATGTATGATTTTTTTAAAAACCCATAATTGGTACAAAATCTTGACATTATGTAAAGGTAACTTAAACTCACATTTGTTTACAAAAACATGTCTTCAAAGAACCATCCACTGAAAGGTTTGTTAGGGAACCAAAAGTGGTTCTTCCATGGCATTGCTCCAAGGAACCATTTTTGGCACCCTTATTTATAAGTGTGGAAGTAACAGAGTGCTTTCGTTCGGTGACAATCATACACGCAGAAGTAACACAGTTTTCACACTTGACTAGAAATGTTTAGCGTCAACTGATCAACTGTTGTTGACAGTGAAAAACGTGTTGTAAGACAGCACAGTAAAGGGAAATTCCACCAAATTTTCAAAACTTCTACATCTACAAATAATTACATTATATAATGAGTGGTTTGATGTGAAATGCACTATTCTACAGAAAGTGTCAGAACTGTTCACAGTAGAGGTGACAGGAGCCGGACGTCTGAAGCCTTTAATGTGCTTAAAAACTACCTGAGAAAAAGATATTACATGAAATGGTCACGAATACGCTGCCTGATGGCTGCGGCCTTGTTTTACGATAGGTTTGCCTGAAACGTATTTTTGAAAATACATGCAGGGCAAAGTGTATGTGCAGGGTGTTGTAAGAAAACTAGTCCCAAAAGATTTCAGATTTACCACTGTTTTACCATTACCAGCATTATATATAATAACTCTAAACACAAGCATAGGTTCACTTTTAAATAATAAAAAAATGGCTATATTTATGTTGTAGACAAAGTGACCCCTGGTTCCTACCCTGACCACTGTGGGCAATTCTGACTCAAAATTCCTCTAGAATGGAACATTTCACATGACTTTGTTTACTCAACCACTGAATTATGCAAAAATTTTGAAAAAAAAATGGTAGACTTCCCCAATAAGTCTGTACAGTAGAAAGGGGATGTGTACCTGTGTTTTGGAGTGTCGGAGTGAAAACAGTCCGTGCGTATGCTGTGTGTGAATCAGCCCTGTTGCAGTCAATGGCTCCCCTGTCAGGGGATATTACCAGTGAGGCAGAAAATCAAGCCCGTGTGCATGAGCGTGTTTGGATTCGCTGAAAAACCAGCTGCCACACACTCCCTCACTCCCTCCACCCCTGCGCACCCGCGGGGCAAGAGGAACTCAATACCAGCGCTCCTTCCTGCACTGTGGCGCACTTCTGCAGTCCTGTTCCACTGTCACTTCTTAACAGAGCACAACTCTGTTCCTTTATACCATACAGTAGATTTAAAGCCAATTCCATTAGCTGAACTGTTCTGTGAGGTTTCTAACTGAAGAGTGCATTTAACACAATAATCAACTGCTGTGGATGTTCCATGGCTGCCTTTGTCCAGCTTAGGATTTCTTCATGTCTTTTTATAAGGTATTAACTGGCTGAAAACAGCACTACATAGGAAAGTCCAGACTTTTGTTTGGCTTTTTTGAGGAAACTGTAATTCTCAAGGCCCCAGTGAATGTAAGTCACTGGAAAAGAACACAGTGTACCTTTAACTCAGAGACTCCAACACCCGCAAAGCTCGCAAAGTCCACCCCCCCCACACCCCCCAAGGCTGAGAGCCGATGTCAGCTTCACATGGACTTCATTAGAAAAACTTTCTCCAGCCTATCATTTGGATTCATTCGATCACTTCAGGGGTAGCATGCTGTGAAACGCCAGCTACATACATTTGCAAAGCAAGAGAACAAGAACTCCAGATAGGCAACAAGAACACCAAACCGGCACATAACATGCAAAAAAACCTATGTGGCCGAACATTTCTATTGCAAATGTAAAGAACTTTACATGCGTACATGTAAACAAAACAAACAGCCAGTATGTTCTGCTTTTATTCTTGACCATTTCTCCACATGTTTTGCATTACTAATATGCTTCATGGTAATTAGAGGTTTATTACATAACTTATTAGCAGGCCTACAAAGGAGGGTCTTAAATGGCGCAGTTCATATTGTGAAAGTGCTTTGAATAAATTCAAATGTGTTCATTGATTCCACATGAATAGAGTATCTGACATCAGCACAATTAAGTAAGTAAGTAAGTAAGTAAATACACTGAAAGGGCCAACCATTGCTTTCAGGTATCATATTTGAGACATCTGGAATTCATTTAGACGTTAGATTCGCAGCATTGTGCGTGCTTTGTTAACCCCTTTAGCCACTTTAGGGGACATTTTTTCACCCAAACGTGGCTGAAAACACTACCTCTGCGCTCCAAGAGCAACAAAGTTGAAAAGGCGCTGAAACAGCAACAATGAAGACGAGGGGCGGCCATACTGCACTCGCTGAGTGAGAGTGGGTGTGTAGCAGAGGCTGTTCTCTCCCACCACAAACACTCTCAACACAAGAATACCAGTTAAATCTCACCAACACTCGGTGCAATTAAATGCCACCCTTATGAAAAAGAATTGCAGTAATAACAGAGGAATTTCTGCAAGAATATTACAGTACATTCAGACAGTCATGGTTCAGAGCACTGCACAGGCAGACAGCACTGAAAATATCAGTGATGTATACAGCACTATAGAAAACGTTCAGCTTCTTATAGTAGTACTAAAGTTCGGTTTTGTGAGAGCCACACGGTTATACTCGCAAAACGAGACAGATTTGTGATTTTTCTCCCCTAAAACGTCTGCTTGCTCCGTCGAGTTACCATCTGTCTGGGCATGGAGGTGTGAACAATTCAGGCGACTCTATTTCCCACGTTCCGTCCTTTAAAAAAGTGAGCTGGGCTTTGTTGCGCAGGTCATAGTAGTTCAGAGCTGTGCGCACTCTTCGCACTTTTCTGGGACACAACATACAAACCACGCAGACCCCAACTCTGACCTCAAGAGCAATAAAGCCATTACCGGGCACTTTTCCAGTAAAACTGCAAATGCACATGCAAATGCAATGATCTTCCACTAAAGAACTGCAAATGCAATCCTCTCCTCTCGTGGCATTTAAAAGTCTAACCAAAAAGTGTCTCCACAGTGCAGCTGCTGTGGACGCAATGAAAACTCGCCGGTGCAAAAACCAGACTGACTGAAAATGAAATGAAACTAATGGACAGTATAAAATGATCCCGCAGAAAACAACGCACTCCGTGAACCGGACTCATGTGGGGCAAGTAGAGCTTTTCTGAGCGAACACTAATCCGGAGCGCTGATGCCTTCTTGGCACATCGCGCCATAACACTTTGTTGTGAATAGAGAAAAAGACACAAGCTGTTAGTACACGCTTAATAAACACGCTTAACACACGGAACAAAGGAGACATACCTGGAAAATCCTCTCTGTTCTCTCGAGATGAACTCTTATATCTCTTATTTATTTGGAGCTGTAATCCCCCGTGATAGTAATATTATGTGGGAGCCTCATCTCAGACGAGAGTCCGTGTGCCTCGCAGCGCCGCCTACTGGCAACAGACGGAACTCGCACAGCAGCGGCAGAGGCGCAATCGCATTACATAACATCAGCGCTAAAAGCCTTTTGGCGTCCTAAATTTGGAATATTGGACATTCTCGGCTAGCCAGCCCGTAAAGAGTAAACACTTGTTATGTAATAAACAATTAAACCGTTTTTTAATCTGGATCAGAATGTCGCAGCTGTGACAATTTGAGTAGCAAATGCAGACAGACCAGATGCAGATCAGTGCCTTAGGGACCCCCTGAGCCACAAGGGGAATGTTTACACACCACATCAAACTCTTATTTCAAAAAAGTAAGGAAAACTCGGTTTCCAATGATATGGGCATTTTAACTAATTTTTTTTATTCTAGCATACAATATAATAAAATTGTGCAGAGACAGGGTCGCCCAAGCAGAAAGTTACTTAGGGTTTGCATATGTTCAGAAACTGGCCTGACCAAACGGAAGGCTTTTTGGCCCTACCTAAGAAAATGTCATGATCTCTTTTACCAACAACTTCCTTCCTCTGAATTCGCAAAGATCACCCTATAGAAGCAAAGTGAACCCTTTAAGTGTTTGGTTGTTTGTAGGCTTTTAAGTGCTGCGTATTTTGAGCCAAAAAGCATATGAATGTCTTCTGTCTCTTCTCCCATTGAGAAGACTTGCATTTGGCTGGCTGGGGATATAAAGGGGGATTTCAGCAGCGTTCTATCGGCAAGTATTAAGTTAGGCTCTCTGGAACAGTTCTTCAGAATGCTTCAGAGCTTGAGAAGTCCATGTTTTATTGACAAAGATTCTTCAGAGGGTTGATGCATAAAATACTGCACTTACCACAATGCTTTGCTGTAACCAGCTTCTCAGAATGACTCCTGACCAACCTCCCCTTAGGCTGCAGTCAGAACACCTGCCAGTACAGGTTATACTGCTGCAAGACATACAAGAGCAGCAGGCTCGTGACATCCATCCATCTGCTACTTGGGGCACTGTGAAAGCACTATCCATCCATCTGTCTATCTATCTGTCTGTCTATCTATCATTTGTTACCAGGTTACATCACTGGGAGTCAAATGTGCAGAGACCTAAGAATTCACGATTCACAAGACAAACTGATATGATTCACGTTTGGTCCTCATAATAAACACAAAGATTTCCCGTCGCTGAAGCCCTAACCTGGTGTAACCTGTCTCTCACAAATTCTGTCCTCATTGTACTCAACAGATTTAGTCTGGTTTTCTGTCAGTATTGTGTTGCATTTTAATTTCCTTCTCAAGAGCTTCTCCACACATGGTTGAGGTTTCTCCTTTTATTGCTGCACCCTGTAGTCTGCCTAAAAATGGTCAGAGAAACAGCTTCTAAATGGGATTATAACAGACTGAATTCATCAAGCAAAACAGAGTGGAAACTCATAATGTTCCAGATGCTCTTCAGTGAGATTTTCACCATTTTTTAAAAGCCTGCATAATTAAATAATTGAGATGTAAACAGAGTCATTTAGAGTGGTTTGATGTGAAGTGGTGCATTGCAGAGAAACTTTCTCAGGTTTCTTTACAGTGGTGGTGATAGGAACCAGAAGTCACAATGTCTACAGTGCAAATATAGCAATTTTACTTACTATCCATGTGAACCATAGAGTTTTTATATGTAATGTTAATGATGGTAAAATAGCATTTCTTTGGCTACTGTTTTTGCCTACACCCTACATCATGCAACGAAATACAAAAGGGCAAAACCTCATCTCACAGCTATCATAAACATTGCATCTGCTTCCCATAACTAACTTTTTAAGCAAGTCTGACTCAGTAAGTGTTTCTAGAATGAAATATTTAACATTAAACCACTCTGAATTGCTTTCTTTACGTCTTAAATATGTTAAAAATTGGTGGTATATGCCTTTAACCAGGCTGCTTATGTCACCCTCTTGCTAGAATGCTTTTTGACCACATGATGGTGCTGTCACTGCATCAGTACCTCTACCAAACTTCTAAATGTATCTAATTTTCTGTCATGTTATCCCATTAATGGCCATGTATACATTTCTATTAGTCCATATGTTCTCTGAGCTCACCTGAGCACAAATCTGAAGACTTTGTTTTTTAAATTGATAAAACCATATGCCTAAAAAAGTGTGCTTATACCACATAAATGATCATATTAAAAGTCTTTTGGTTACATGGGATTGATCTTTAACAAATCAATAGAAATTCCAAATTAGATTGTGAATAAAAGTATGAAAATGACATATATAATCAAAAAATCAAAGTGATGATGCTAGAAGTTCATCCAAAGCATACATTTCATCATTCAGAATTTAGACTAGTTTCCCTTAAACTAGTTGTTAAACGTAAAAACGCTCAGAGGCAAATATATGCATAAATATAACTGCTTTTTTTATAATTTGTCTTTCACAGACAGAAAATACAATGAGAAAAGTGTAGAAAATACAAGGAGAAAACCCTGGATGACCTAGATGAAGTCTGAGATATAAAACTTGGTGTTACAGGTGCAACCCATTCTGATGATTTCTGGTAAATAATGACACATGAAAGAATTAGAAACTGTAATGTGGCATAACATAATCTATGACTGCTAACCTTTCGTCTAGGTAACACATCTGGCCTTCCAAAAGCAGATATCATTAGTGGTTGAGTGATGCCCTTCTGAGACTCCAGAACCTCATATGAGGACATCACGTCTCAGCTTCTCTGTGTACTTTCATGCATTTACAACTGATTCTGTTCTGAAATGAGAACAGATTGAGCTGCCGTCTGCCAGGAGTACAACATGTGCTACAGTGTTTATGGCCTTCATCTCGGTGAATTCATCTTAAAGGACAATCCTGTAAAAAAAATACTGTCCAATAAAAATGCAATGCATTTATTTACAATAAACCATGTTTGTAGTTCAGTCTGATGCACTAATGTGATGCTTTTAAGTGATATTAACAAGTCAGCATGGGATTAAAGCCTGGGGGGTAGCCTGAAAGAAAAATCCCCCCTTGGGTAATCTGCCTCCCCTCCCATATTGTATCTCCTAATGAAATAATAAGGCTATATCTAATCTCAACATGTTTACTGAATGCCTTAATTAATTAATTCTGAAATTTCATCTGAATTGCTGCATCCTTGGAATTTATGACCATGAACACTCAAAGAATCCTTTGCATGATTAAAGCGTTCTTTGCATCATGAAATGGTTCTTCAGATTGATGGAGAATGTGTTGTAGATGGTTCTATATAGAACCTTTTGAAAAGGGTTCTATGTAGCATCAAAAAGGGTTTTTCTATTGTTATAAGCTCGACATCGTAACAATAGAAGAACACCTTTTTGGAGTCCAGTATGCTGTAGTGATGTAACCATTAAAGAACAGGTTACATTATTCAGAGCAAACAGACTCATTCTAGCGCATTCTGATCAATACAGATTTGAATAGGTTGAAGTTTTGTTATTGTTGTTGTTGTTGTTGTTGTTGTTGTTGTTGTTGTTTTGTTTATATCTGCGTGAGTCCCTTTGAAAGCTTTTATCTTTAGGGAAATAACTCGCAACTTTGGTTTTATACCTACCCACTCCAGTAACTTGCTTTTTATATTCAAGCAATTTTAAAATGTCTTTTTCTATTTTCATTAAGTTTTCTAGAACGGTGCATTTCACATCAAACCACTCTGAATGATATTTTAACATCTAAACCATTTAATAATGCAGAATTTCAAAAGCAGTGGATCCAGCAGTGGATAACCCTTCAATTTATTTCTAACTGCATAAAGGTTTGTACTTTACATTATCCTGTATGTACTCAACTGCTAGCATGCTCTTTGACCACATGACGGTGCTATGGTATCAAGAACTCTGTAACCACCTCTAACTTCTAAAGTCCTGGTGTTTTTCAGTCATGTTACTTCAATAGTATCCATATCTAAATTTCCTTTTGTCCATATGTCCTCTGAGCTCAACCAGACAGAATTGAAGAAAATTATAAACTCAATTCCACCTTATGTCTAGTTTTTTTTCACTGTTTAAGGATGCTGTTAACTTTACATAGTCAACAGGTGCTATATACAAACAACAAGAAATTAAACTGTGCTGAACAATGAAGCTTAAGAGAATACTGTAAATAGAGTTTCATTGCCTGAACACTGACACTACCTGTAGGATGGTGTGAGAACCTTGCTTGTTTAAATAAGAGTGAAGTGAAAGTTGAGAGTGAAGTGAGAGGCTCAGTCCTCAGAGGTTTGCTTTTTACTTTTTACACTGTTATAACACAGATAAAACATATGAACATCTTCTCCCATGTAAGATGTCCAAATAGGGTGGTATGTATTTAGCAAAATGTCAAAGTGCACAGGAAGATATGCAAAACATTGGACAGTTTAAAGATTGAGACCTAAACAAATGAATAATGTAACAGCACAGTTCTAGTTTTAGAATAAACAAACAGAACGCCAGAATCAGTCATAACATAATGATTATCTGCATTTACATAAACCACAGGGAAGCTCCTAATTGGCAGTGTTCTAAATTAAGGCTGGACGATACTAATAAAATCCAATATGATTTTCCAAATACAGTGCTGTCTAAAAGACTAAAAGCACCTAAGCATTAAAAAAATGAATTGTCTGGACAATAACTGCATTTTGCCTTGTAAAACACCACGTAACATTAAAACAAATGCAAAGAAACTTGAAGTAACAAAAAATTCTTCTTTCTGTTTTCAAAAAAGTAGTTAACTTGTGAGCTCATCTGAAGAACTAAGGTTTGGTTCCTCGATGCTACCAGCCACCTCATGGGCTCCTAATTTCATGTAATGAAGGGCTGATTATCCAAACAAGGTGTTGGATGAAAACTACAATTAATACTAGGCTTCTTTGGGGACACATACAATCACTACATAATTTATTAATGTTATTTGTATTTATTCTAATATTAGTCCTTTTTAGAACATTTTGAATATCATTTTCTTAGGTTCTATGACATGTACAGTACTGTTTATCACAGTATC